ACCCGCCAGAATGGTGACGGTAATACGAATTCAACACATTGCAAATGGATAGAATTCGCGCACACGGCTTGCAACGGGAAGGTGCCATGGACTTTCACGCAGAGTCGTGGTCAACTCCCTCTGCTTGCTCTGGAGAAACAATGCTGGTGCGTGTGCAGTGGTACCGCGGGGCCCACGGCGTGGGCATCGAAGTATTCCAGGGGACTGATCAGAGGGCACTATTAGTCCCTCTGTCTTTTCCGTGAGGATCCCTTCTTCTTCCGCTGACAAGGCCAATGTGGGTGAGGGGGCCAGTGGTTTAGGGTTTAGGGTGTAGAAACAAGAAGGGGTCTCCACGGAAAAGACAAAGAGACTTATTCCATGCCGACTGATCAACAACCGAGCGTGGGCCAGCGCAATCTTCATGTTGCGCCAAATTCCGTCGAGGAAAGTAGAATGCATGCAGGAGCATGGCTGAAGATGGCTGCGGCTACGCAGGTCACTTTCCGCTGGCCACCCCCTGTCTGACCATCAAACTGGCCTAAGGTACTTGGGCGCCCTGTGTACATGATGGGCCATGTTCGCCCGCTGGCGTCGGGTCCTGCCCACGGCGCCGCGCCCTGCGCGGGTGCCCGGTGCTGCGGCCCGGCAGGATGAACATGCTGGGCAAGGTGGCCAAGGGCGTGGGGGGCGTGCTGAAGGGCGCGGTGGAAGGTGAGGGGCGCAGCCGAGGGGAATTTGAGGAAGGGTGGAACGCCCGAACTGCTTTTTGGCGTTTCTGTGAGTGACGTGCTGCGGCGAGGGCTGCCGGTGCGTGATGGGTCCTGTGCGACTTTCTGGGAGATTGGGGAGGCGTCGCGGAGGTGGAAGGCGTTGAGGGATTTAGGGGGAATTACGCGTCTTTTGGGTCAGATTTGGATGTTGCTGATTGGGTGTTGATTGTTGGTGCTGCCTGGCAAGCGTGTTGCGATCCCGAGTTGAGCCTGGTCGATGGTTGCTGGGGGAAGTGGGAGCGAATGAATGTGCATTGTGGCATGTGAGTCAGCGTGCCCGCCCAAACCCTGTGCAGGGATTGGGCGGCACTAAGAATTCAGAGTTCAGGGTGGCGGACTGCAATTCCAGGAGGTCTGGATCTCAAGCAACAGCCTTCTGTGCATGTCATTGCCTGCCCAGTGATGTGCGCACGATGAGCCCGGACCCCAGGCTGTGAGATTGCCAAAATGCTGCCTTCTTATGTCCTTGAACAAATACTGAATGGATCTTTCTCCGGCCATCACCAGGTCAAGCAGCAAGTGCATTGTCTGTCATGGCTTTTCTGACGTACAATCCATGGGAATCCACGCCCAGAGGGTGTGCATCGCATCCCTTGGTGGAAGAGGGTCCCAGAAAAGATTTCCCAGAATGTCTTGCTTGTTGTTTGATCCGATTTCCCTTCCACACTGTGTGTTGCCCTGTTTGATTGGTGGGCCTCGTGCAGGTGTCACCTTCTCCCGTGAAGATACCGAGGTGACGGCGCTGCTCAACAGATTGGCAGAGAGCGTGCTGCCAGAGGACAAGAGGACAGCTGTGGCTGAACTGAAGGACCTTGTGGAAGACAATCCAAGGGTGGGACCAAACAGCAAGTGTCAAGCTAATAATGAATGCATCCCATTTCCACTTGGAAATCTGGCCTGGAACACAGGGCTAAGGGGCTCAATTTAGGAGCTCTGCATCACCTGAAAAACTTTGTTGTGTTGAACACGTCAGCAGGTCTTCGCTACACCAGGTGCAAGAATGCCAAGAACCTGAATTATTAAGGTTATTCTCCTCCAGAAAAATGCCAGATCAGTGGGCCCTTCGAAATGTGCTGCAATGCTGTTCTCTTCGATAAATTTGCAATTCAGCAGGACATGGGCTTGTGAACCTCACTGAAGAGTGTCTGTCAGGCTGTTTTACCGCACTATCGTCCTGGTAGTAGGAGAATACGATTTTTTGCATATATTGTGGACAAATCCATCTCATCAACGATCCTTATCTTTCAAACCGTCACCACACACCCATTCATCAAGTGCACTTTCTTGAGCACATCTTGGATGCATTGGCTTGTAACTGTGCTCAGATCCCACACACAAGATAACGGATAGTCGGCTGTCCACAGGCCAAACGGGTAGGCCCATGCCTACAAAGTGTCGCATGGATGTTGTTGGGATTGGGTGGCATCCATGACTATGGTTGTACCCCATGTTTCTTGAACAAGCACGATGGAAGTTGCTCAGGTGCCCTCCACATTGCAAGACATAGCCCTGTCATTCATGGGCCTGATTGCCAGGAAGTTCACTGTTTGTAGATATTGAATTCATTTTTTGTGTGTGATGGCAGCAGGTGCAGTTTTGTGCATGGGATAGTCTCTGTGCCACAGTACACATTGGTGTTGGCTGATAATCTCTGTGCCATCTCAAAATGTGGAGAATTCTGCAGCAGCCAAGGTACATCCAGAGCTTGACCTGCTGTGTGTGAAAATCCATTGCAAACCCCAGAGCCTATCCAGTTGTCACTATTAGATAGATATTATATGATAAAGGTGTCAGGTTTAAGTCCACACGCAAATTATCCTCCATTAATTCTAATATCCAACATCAAATCCACTTGCAAAGCGCTGAATTTCATTTATCCTTTCTGTGTGCTTTAGGCCCAACTTGTTGTTGGCTCAAAGGGCCTCCCAGCTCTATGCGGTGTGCTCTTCAAGGACAGAGATGACATTGAGATGGTCCGGGGTGCCTTGGAGGTGTTGGTTTATGCCTTTTCAGGAGAGAGGGAAGCAAGGCCAACCTCAGGACAAGATCAGGAGGTCTGTGCCTAATAGTGCTTCTGCTTTTCATTTCCACACCATGTGATGTACTGTACCGTATTTGGACCTTTTGGCATCTTGAAGTTTACCAACATTGCTGAAAGGGCTTGTGCCTCAGCATGTTGCCCAAACATCGCCTTCCAATCTCTGTTTTGCCTGGGATCGCTTCTGGAGGAGAATAGGGTGTCTGGCATTGGCAGTGCAAAGACACCCTGTTGATCGTGTTGGGGGTCCAATGGAAAAACCAGTGGTGTAGCGGAAACTTTGTTGTTACTTCCTATGTTTGCCCAACCTGCCCCCCTCCTTGCAATGGCTTGCATTGAACATGAGCAAAGGCCCCCTTACTGGCTTGGGCTTGTCGGTTTTGTGGCCAGGTGCTTGCACATTGTGCATCGAATCATTGGTGGGGTTCTATTGTTCTCATGGTGGTAAACCTGCATCCTAAGGTGCTGCCTGTATGCCACTACCCAATCAGGCCATTGTCCCCTGTTCTGCAAGGGTTCATAGTCGCGAATGCCCTTCCATTGGAAACAAAGGCAAAACAGGAAAGTTGCAAGGCATCCAAACAGATCATCTGTAGCAGTCCCAGGTCTGATGCATTGGAAAATTTGGACAGTTGTGCAACAGGTAAGGCAGGTTTGATGGGCTTTACAATATGGGTCCTCTTTGATTGCGTGAAGACGGCATGGTGGAGGAGAAGGTCTGAGAATAGGGCTTTCTTTCCAGGATTGGCTGCAACAGTTGACCAGTCCCAGCACCAGTATCTGCACACTTTTGTCCTCTGAAGGAAAAATAAACATTAGAAAGTACATGGTAAAATACACACGCAAGAATGTGCCAGAGTATTTCCAACATCGTTGACACTTTGTTCTCGAATGTTTTGAATAGATGTTCTATCAACATCGATAGAACACATACAGAAAACATACAGAATGGATATTCAAAGCATTGGTAGTTATGCAGCCGATCTGACAGGAATTTTTACTCTCAGGCAGCTGCTGGGGCCATCAACGTTGAGTTGTTCACTCAGAAGCCAGAGAACATCGCAGTGTTGCTGTCGCTCCTTGAAGATGAGCCTATAGGAGTGGAGGACTTCTACGTGCGCTATCATGCCGTTCAACTGCTCACTTCCCTTGCCAACACAAGCATCTACAAACTTCAGGTTTGACGGGATAAATGAGGCAGTTTGCTGTTTGCCAGTGACAGTTTCGACACTATCATCGTTGCCTGACAATGACACAAGCAGTTTGCAGATAAATTGCTTTTAGTGGAAACAGGTATTGATGAAATGGGTCTTGGGAAAGCTGAAGACAAATGGATATTGGTGCAGTGATTCGTTGCGTGGTAAAATGTGTGCTCAATGGCATCATGTATTGGGAATCTCGACTTGCTCGATTGCTGCAGTTTGCCTGCCTTCGTTGTCACATGTCTATTCTGTCACTATTTCCGTTCAGTTGTGGAAACTACCGTAGACCATGGAGGATAGCGCCCCCCCCTGTTCCACATCAGGGCTGACATCAAGAATGCGGGGGGTGCTATCTTCTGTGGCCCCCCTGATCTGCAACAATGGCCATGTTTGATAACGCTGGGGGCGCTATCTAAAGGCTCCTGCACTATTCAACACCGCCATGATCTACAGTACATATGCTTAAGACCATGCAATGGTCACAACCAGGGCAGCCTGGGTGTCCCTGGATTTCTGCCAAACAGATGTTGCTTATTGTGCTGTTAGCCAGATTTTTGGGACTCATGGAAAACAGGGTTGAATACAGAAATTTTGCCCTCACATTCTGCTGAGATCAATGATCTTTTGATGGTTTGGAACCATCCTTTCACTGCATTGACTGGCAGGTGCTACCTTCCTGTTTCTCTTGTACTAATGCCCCAATGTGGATCAGTCAACTGCATTGCTGGAACAATAACTTTATTGCTGCATGTTGATGTGCCTGGCGTCCTTCATCTTGCATCTTGTACGCTGGAGAAAAATGTGCCCTTTTTATCAGCAATGGCAAGCTCAGGTGTTGCCTTGCTGAAATTGTAACTGTTGCACAGGAAGCCATCCTTGGAAGTCCCCTGGCCACTGTCCGGTTGATGGATCTTTTGACAGAGAGGGAAGCTATCCGGAATGAGGTGCTGTTGCTCCTGATCTCGCTGACAAGACAGAATGAAGAAATCCAGAAGATCGCAGGTTTTGAAGTGAGGATGCAGTATTCATCGGGGCAATGTGGTGTGACCACTGTGTGGTCAGGCCCAGTGATCGCTGCCTGGACTATTTGCTGTAGAGTAGAGAGAACACAATCATTTAATGTGCCCAAAATCTGATGCACATTTTGGTTGGCCTTATGTTCCAGATTGAGTGAATCCTCAAGATACCATATTCTCCTGTCAGGTGGAAAGTGACATTGTCTTTTGTGAATATGAGTTGAAGTGAATTCATGATGAGGAGCATCCATGCAAGCGTGGCATCTATAGCTCCACTAGAATAACAAAAATTGCATTCAACACGTTACAATGTTGTTCTTCCTGTGTGTTGAATAATAGCTGTTTGACAAACCCTTAGCATTGCTGTTTGCCTCTTTCAATCTGCCCGCTGATGTGTCTGCTTTTTCAGGGGGCCTTTGACCGTGTCTTCAGCATCATCAATGAAGAAGGTGGTGCTGATGGTGGGATCGTGGTACATGACTGCTTGGAGCTGGCTAGCAACCTACTCAGAGACAACACTGTGAACCAGGGACTGTTCAGGTAAGGTTCACTACCTCACATGCCCAAGCGCACGACTTTGTTATTCAGCATTAGCAAGTACAAATCTGTTCCCTTTATCCCTAGGTGATTACTAGTGCTGTCTGCATACCAAGCAGGTGAAATGTAAGCCCACCTTATGATTTGATTGCAGACATGATCGAGTTGGTGACCTCTCAGTTCTTACTTTCAACAGTTTGCAGCAATTATTTGCTGCAAACACATACAAACCGCATACTACTGCATACATCACCAAATCATGAAATGGAATTTCTACAATACTGTGGCCTTCCTGGAGCTGTCCTGTGCAACTCCCAGCTGATTGGCACACTGTGTGATGCCCACCTGCTTTGCATATCTATAGCACTACCAGTAGACACTCGTCTTGAATTGAAATTTTGCAGTGTATGATTGATAGCCTCCTCGTGGCAATGTTTTGTCCTTGTGAGATAGTTTGGTTATGCGGGCTTACCATGGGGAAGTGAATGTCAGCATGTGTAAACTGACTGAATTCTTGTTGTGGAAGAACTAAGGGTTAGAATTGGGTTTATGTGTGCACAAAACTTTGGGCAGCAAGTTCAACATACAGAATGTTCACAAAACCTCCCACATAGGGTGAGCAGCATAATGTCACGATCAGTTATATTTGTTGATTCCACTTACGATTGTCCAGCCTCCTTGGCGCTGTCGTGCAGTGGTAGTCACACAGCATGACCTCCGGATACACATAAGCAAAGAAAATAATTGATGTGATCACCACCAACCAATAAGAATTTCGGAAGCTCTTATGCAAGAATGGCGATGGTTGTCAGTGCATTCCCTGTCTCTGATTGGCTGCAGCCTGCCTTAGGATTCAGAATGAAATGGCGGGTGATGCTGACAGGGCTGATGCTCGAGTGAAACATGTGCTCATGCTTTCCAGGGAGATGGGTTACATACCCAGGCTATGTTCATTGCTGCAGCTGTCGGACCCCTCCAACCAGGCTGCAGTACAGCCTGGCAGTATGTCAGCCCAAGGCATGTCTGCACAAAAGGCTTCCAACTTAGCAACAGCCTTGGAGACCGCTTCCCTGCTGGTGGGTAGTTGTGCATGCAGTTCCCACTTGTGAATTCCCGGTTTGTGGCTGCTCGGTGGAAGTCCATTTTCAGTGCACACCCACAAGGCAGGGCGAAACAGCATGCTTGCACTCTTGCTAGCATACTCTTACTGTGAGAAAGAGGGCTGCTCGGGACTTGGATTAGGTCTGTTGTGTATATTTAGCAGTTGTATGTGACCACCTTCTGGAAAGCCCGAAGGAATGTCTGAAAACTGAAAATGACGGTCTTGTGACTACAACAGTCCATTCCCTCCTGGTGCTGCATGTTGATAGCCTTGCTAGACGTTCTTTTCAACTAAAATGTCACCTGGTCCATATCATGCTTTGATAATCCTTGGAGACAGGACTTAAGTAATGGATCATGGTGATGGCCATGCCTTTCGGTGACCGTGATGGTGGGGAGAGACAATCATGCTCTTGCGCATGTGTGCTCCTACAGATGTGCATGAGGGGAAATGGGGATACTGATGCAGATCTGGCCGTCCATGCCAGATTTCGGGCACAGCTTGTGTCAGAAAATATGTGGGAAGTGCGTTGATTGGCTTGCTTAGTTGTGTGCTACTCAATTGCATCCTTGGTTTCACAGTTATCAAAGAATCTGAAAAGACAAGAATACAAGCCAGTGCAAATGCAAACCAATGCTCGTTTAGCATTTGTTGTGGTGCTGCAATGGTCCCCCCGATCAGGCCAGTGCCCGATTGTGGGGTATCAAAGTATGTGGGGAGCTGCGCGTTGTCTTCTGTTACAATGGACTGGAAGTATTCCAGTTGCAGCTGCTGGAAGCATCTTTCATCCTCTGCTTTCTGCGTTCCAGACTGTCAGGTATCAGCTTACGTTGACGATTAGCTTCCGTTGCCTGAACGATGCGAACAGCGGCCCTCATGTGTCCTATTAGGTGAAGTTGCTGGGAGCCTGTTTGCCCACCTCTGGCAATGTCAGCTGGAGATTAAACAGATTTGGTGTGCTTCTCAGCTCTGCACGCCACCTGCCGATGCGGACCCGACCCTGGTCGAGAACCACAGGGCAAATCAGGCTGCCTTTGCACGTAGCAGGGCGGTGGCCATCCTGGCCCAACTTGCATTTCACGATGGCGGTTTGGCGGCTTTGAATGTCAGAGTGGGGGCCCTGACGTGCATGGCTGGAGTAGTTCGTTGTGCCGCAGAATTGCAGGAGTCCATGGGCACGATTGTTGTCTGGATGGAAGGGCAACCTGTAGCATTGTTGCTGGTAAGGCCATCACAGGCTTCCGGTTTGGGTGAGCTGGGAAATTGTCAAGCAAGCTCACTTGCTGAACATTTGTTGATAGGACTAGTGCAATTTGTTTGCACCGAGTATGGTGCAGCTGCCGATCCCTGTGCCAATGCAAGTCGTTTTAGTAAAGAACAGTTTGGTGAATCACTCGACTGACACTCGCATCGCATTTGTATGCGCATGGACATTCGTTTATCAATGGGAGATGGTACAGTTGGTTGTCTTCTCCAGCCATTCAGGATGCGTTCCCAGCTACAATTACACGACAAGCCAATCCAGGCAGTGCTGATGTGTGCATTGCGTTCTCTTGCACTTTTGCAACTGAAAGATAATTGGTTTTGTTTGGTGATGACTGGATTTTCCTTTGACTGCATGCATTTGCCATCAAACAGTGTTTTGTGCTGTCAAGGTCTATGCAACTTTCCAATAGATGTCTGTTCCTTGATCTTCAGGCTGCTCTGCGCGTGGCCACAGATGGAACAGAGGCTTGTGAGCGCCATGCTGCAGACCATGCACTCAAGTGCTTCTTCATGAACAACCCCTCTGGTAGCCTTGCAACAATGTCCAGCTTTGCACCAGGTGTTGCGCAGCCCAGTTTCGGTGGGGAGATCATTCGACGTCTGGCCACATGCGCGGAGGGGAGCATTGCAGGGTGCCGTGTGGCAAGGGTTGTGCGGTACCTGCTGGCGGCGGGCCCAGAAGTGAAGGGTGGGCTGCTGCGCACTGTTGTGCAGCTGCCCTTTGCAGCTGGGGGTGGACAGGAGCTCCTGCTCCCATGGTACGGCTGACTTCCAACATTTCATGGACATTTTTCGACAATTGCTAACATTCGATCTGAAGTGCAGTTCTTTGCAACGTGTAAGAAAAATGGATTTGGAGAGTCAGCAGAGGCTCTGTGGCTCTGTGTCCCAACTGGGAACTTCCTTGTAGGTGGGCAGTTGGAACACAGAAGCCAGATTGTTGGCATCAACAGTTAGATGCCACACATTGGGTGCCACAGCATTATTTGGGCAAAACAATGGACAGGTTATTGAAGTGACAAGTTTCAATCTTGCCTGAGGTTGGCACTGCCAGACCACAGAGCATATCTGTTTCTCTGTGTGTTACGTGTTGCATTGGATAAATGCACAGCCCCAAGAATTGTGATCCCCGGCTGCGAAATTCAGCTGTTGAATCCACATCAGGCACACCTCCAGCCAACTGCTTCGTTTGTGCCTTTGTTCCTTTGGCTTGTTCAGATGTTTGGTTTCACCTGCACAGAGTTTTAAAGTTAGGTGCCTGCTGTAAAGCTGCCGCCATTATGTTGCATCAGCTGCAGCTGCGCCATACACCCATGAATTGCTGTATCGTGCTCTAAGAATGACAGCCTTTTACTGCGAATTAGCATTGAACACAATATTCCAGGCTGAACAAACACAACTGGCTCTCTGGAGTACCCACATCAACGTCTGTATCAAAAATGGGCGATCCAGCAGGGCTTGGAACTCAGAAAAGTAACTATGTGTATCTGTTGCAAACCATCAGATGCTTCAGAGTCTCCAGCTTTGTTTCTGTATCTTAGTGTGGGTGAATGCTCTGAAGTCATGCCAACAACTAATAATACCAACAAATAATACAAAAAATAAATAAATAATACCAGACGTAATAATAAATAATATGTAAATAATACTAACAAATCATCGCCACATCAGGTGGCGCAATTCCCTGAGGCACTGTGCCCCAGATGAACACCAGATCTTGATACCACATCGCTGATCATCCTTGGATTTAAGACATCATCTACGTACCATCGTTACCACTCAAGCACATCCAAGTTCTCCAATATGGCGCCCTACTCACCCAGTCTGGTTACCCATTTCTGGCCGGGCAATCGAGATGCTGGACTCCACACCTGTGTGACAATGTCTCTGTGTGTCAAGGTGCGTGAGCCTCTTGTCTTTCTGCCTGCAGCACGGCTCTAGCTGGGCCATCCTTTGCACCCTCCTGCAGCTCCTGGTGCTGTGGACGCACTGCTGCCCGCCGGCGGTTCAGGCACTGCTGGAGCCGGAGCAAAATGCCGTGCTGCTGATTGGCATGCTGACCAATGGGCCTGGGTCACAGGATGCAGCGGTGATGGGACTGGCCGCTCTGTTGATTGGGGCGTGTTTGATTGCAACGCAGAGGCCCGACCTGCCAGCAGGTAGGGTGCCACGCAGGAGTGTGCATTAGATCAGTGGTCTTTGTGCTGGAGCTGTTGCCTGATTGCAAATGCAAATGTTGGGGATAAGGACAGTTTGTCTGGTGAGGAGGCTATCATATCGAGAGAAAGGCTGCAGCGCCAAAGTTTGGCTCTTGACATCTACGAGGGAATGTATTGTATGGGTTTTGCGCTGCAATGTCTTTTGGCGCCTTGTGTTTGGGGCTGCCACCCAACGAGGTGTGGGTGCTTGGCAGAGCTTACTATCTAGTTTCTATGTGCCAATTTGAAAGTATGCCTCAGTAGTAGCGATCGTTGATTTAGCCAGTGTTCATTGCATATAATAGAAAATAAAGCACACATTTAAAGGGAAACGATGGAGTAATGTTGAGGAAAGAATGAAAGGAATTGGAAACAGATGGACATAAAATTTAAAGCAAGTGGAGTGGCGCTTGCCGTCTCCTTTGCCAGTTCCTTGTTGGTGCGCTGGGCATGCAAACCACGTTAACAGGTGATGCTGCACGTGTGATAGTGGCTGAAGTGCTTGTCGTCCCCTTTGGGACATAGGCTGTGATTCGCACACGTTATATTTGCTTCCTCCGCCCAATATTAGTTTCCTCTCTGACTTTAAAATGGGGCATTACTTCTCCGTGTTACCCACATGATTTTTCAATGCAATTTCTCCCATAGTTGTGCTTGTAAATTTGCAGTATACTATCAAAGTTTGAAGTCCATCCATTGAGTATTGCGGATTTGGCAACACTTTGTAGCAAGGTTCCTCCTACCAAGAGACACCCATTTTTCAACAATCCTGCGAAACCAGCCGCTCAAACTGAGAACGTTATTCTTTAATGGGGGGGAGGGGGGGCCGCAGGTGGCGCGTTGTGTTTGGATATATTGGGGGCAATCATCTCTTGATTTGCTTCCGCAAAGTCAACCAAATTCTGTTCCTCAATCTTTGGCATGTGGTGAACATGAACAGGTTCAATGCCACCCGAGCCTGTTGAGAGCTTCCTACTGGACATAGTGCACAGCAGGATTGGTGCCCAGCGGTACCTAGGCGCCTTAGACAGGCTGCAGACGCTGCCCCTATTCACGCAGCAACACCAATCAGGTGCGGGGCGGCAGGCAGATTGACCAAACAGCTGGTGTGCCGTTTTCGCCTTTGCCCGTTTATCAAAAAGAGAGCCCAAAAATAAATTCATCCATTTCGTCGTTGCAAGGGTGTCATTAGTTGCGCATGATCGCACAAATGCATTGAAGCATTGATTAACCTATTGCTGTGCTTATACAAGATTTAACGAAGCATTTATATGCTCATATCGCCTCGTGTGGTGCGTGTTTGTGGCACTCTGATGTTGCTGTGTGGTTTGAAAAAGTGCTGGAAGAATGAGCTGCTGCTCATGTTGCCCAAATTCTGGCGTCGTAGCATGTGAAGGGCTGTTGTTTGAAGATATGGATGCACCACAGTCTTTTCTGCAGCAACCAAGGAGTGCCGAAGTGCCTCGAGGCACAGCTTGCCAAAACCTCACAACCCAGGCTGTTCTGTGCTGTCCGCAGCCCATCCTGGCAGCGGCAGGCTCGAAGACGGAACAGAAGATGACACACCCATTTTCGACGACGACTTCAAGGCACTGACTTCAGAGGTCGCCGGACAGGTGCACCATTGCCTTTCCATGCGCTACAGCTCCCAGCCTGTGACCCAACCTCAGGCCCCTGTTCCCATGCTTGCAGTATCACAGGCGCCCGTGCCGCCACAGCCGCCACCTCCCCCTCCACCGCCGCCCCCTCCCCCGCCTCCCACGCCTCCACTGACGTCTGGGGCTGCGCCGTACGGCGCGCAACCGGCAGGTGGTGTAGATCAGCTGGCCATGCTGCAGCAGGAGCTGCAAAACTTGCAGATGGAGAATCGGAAATTGAGGAACGACATGAGGGCGATGGCGACAGGTGAGTGCGGTTGCTAGCACGATATGGAGTGGCGACCGATGGGTGAATTGGGAACGGGAGAGGGTGAATTGAAACTTTAAGAAATATTTAGCTCGTTACGCTTGGCGAATGTAACCTTGCAAACTTTCCACGAGGCATGTGGCCTGAAACTCTGGGCGTCTGCGATTAGCTCATCAGCTCATTTCGCAATCTGTGCAGCTAACGATGCATATTCATCAGCACAGCTGTCCTCCAATTTGTCCGCCTTGTGCCTTTTGGTTCATTGATACTCTTCTCTTCCTTTTGCAACGGGCACGCCTTGTCTCCTTGATGCGACATCCTTTGTGAGCCTGAAATATGATATCGATCGTCAAGGATGACATTTTCTAGAGATCGAAACACAGGAACTGAATGCTTGATAAAATTATAATCCTGCTTAAGCTTAACCCTAAGACTTTAAATAGGGAATGGTACATCCCATTATTGGTTTTTATTTTACGCGGTCTCATGGCAGAAACTTAGTAACCATTGGTTGGTATTTTCACCCAGCACAGTCAACAAAGAAAGCAAAACAAAAAGGGAAGTGGTTTTTGGGAAATGGAAATGGATCATTTTCTGTCGGTGTCCTGACCGTGGGTAGCTCGGCTCGCGAAGGGGCGGCTCCACAGCGGGCCCAGGAGACGAAGGCGCTGCAGGAGGCTGAAGCGCGGGCCCTGCAGGCGGAGCTGGAGGCCTCCAGCTCGAGACGGGAGCTGGACCGGCTGAGCGCGGCGCAGGCGGAGGTACGGCAACAAGTGGCACAGGCGCAGCACGAGGCACAACTGGCAGCGGAAAGGGCCGACCGCATGGAAGCCGACTCGAATGAAATGTCCCGGCAGTACGCACACCTGGAGAGGCACGCGGCCCTCCTAGAGGACAAGGTACGACGCTCGCCGGGGAGAGCGAGGAGCGCGCGGCCATTAGGGTTGTCCTGTGTTTCTGTGACGATTGCTTTTGATTCCAGAAGGCTACGCCGTGTTGAGGGTCCATGCGTTGTGCCCGTCATAACAAGGGAGATGCGGACCTCGCGCCATTGCATTGCAACGGCGTTGTTGGTCGTTTTCTAACAACGAGCACTCAAGGCGCCCTTGTTCTCCTTTCGACGCTCTATTCGGTTGATCGGTTTGTCCAGTGACGCCACCCTTGAAGACTCGGCAATGCGCTGCCGATTCACTTGCGGTCGGTGCGGGAACTGGTGGAAAATTGTGGCAGCTTTTTTTGCTGGACCGTACACTGTGCTCCTGGTCGCACTCTGAATTCGTAAATCACGTGTTGCGGCGAAGCATGGCTTGGATTTCAGCACTGTGCTTGTGAAATGCGTTGGCGCCAACGTGGATGAACTATGGCTGCCGCTTGCCTACATATCGCCTGCATTGGCGGAGTAGCCTTCTCTGTTTGCAATCTGCAAGCAACGGACAACTGGAAAGCACGAACTGACTCCACTCAAATGCCACATCACCGTGCACTATTTTCCGCCGTTCTGCTGTTTTCCAATGCGGATCCGTCTCTTGCAAAATGGGCGGCTTTGTGCCAGCGGGCTGCACGCCGATGGTCAGGTCGACAAGGCGTGCTCAGCGCGGTATTTCAGAGCTAGCCGACAGGCCGTTTGGCCGCGGACACCGCCTGCAATTTTCAAGGGCGTCGAATTGCGCCCTAAGGGGGTAGGACCTGAATGACATGGGGTGTCCTGTGCAGGCTCGGCGCTTGGAAGAGGAGCTCAGTGGAAACAGGACGTCTCCTGCCCCAGGGCCCGGTCCGGACGAGCAGTCGAAGGCTGCAGAGGAGGCGAGGGCGGAGGCGGACGAGGAGCTGGCGGACCTGCTGATGTGCCTGGGCCAAGAGGAGGAGAAGGTCAAGAGGCTGTCGCGGCGCCTGCAGCTGCTTGGAGAAGACGTGGGCACGTTGCTGGAGGGGGTGGGGGGCGAGGGCGACGCCTGACGACGTCTTTGGGCCTCGTGCTGTGGTGCAATGCGCACGGTCGCACAATTTTTGCAGCCGCACGATGTGTCGCTCGGGCGGAATGAAAGTAGCGCCAAACGGTTGTTAGGCGTTGTATGCAGTGGCGCAGAAGGGCGTTGGGGGAGTCGACCGCGTTGGAGAGCGGATGTGCAGAGTGAGGGGCCGGCAGGAGCGATATGGTTGATGGCTGCACTGCGGTGTGATGCATTGCGCCTTGTTCGTGGCGGCGCTGTGATGCGTGCGCGCGTTGATCTGGCAGAGAATTCGGCGACAGAACGGCTGGGACTTTGTTCAGTGGGCAAGGGATCGTTCCTTTGCCATGTGCGACAGTGTGTCACGGTTTCGTGGTTGCGTTTGCATGGCGGTAGTGGTGGGGTGGTGCGGGGTGGGGGGGCGTGGCGTTCATTACCGTCACGATCCTTCAGGCCCACATGAATAATTCCAGATTGCTCAAGATCAACGTTATCCGAGAAGAAGCCTCCACTAGTCATCTGCAGTGGAATTTGAAGCTTTGGTGTCGGCTTTGCTGGGTGTGGCGCTTTCAGGCCAGGCGACCCGCTCAATGTTTCATTACGCACTCACGCGCTGCCCGAGGAGTCTCTTCTGAGATGTTGGACGTCACCGTCGCACTTTACATCGAGCACAGGCGCGGACGGGCGCAACGGTGCCCCATCAGGTTGCCTCGACGACCCCAAGTGCAACCGCGCGGCGAAGACCAAGAACACCGGCACAGTGGGCGAGACCATTGACGGCGGGCGCGGCCACGACAGTGTCAAATGGACACTGCAGACCATGTTCTCATGGAAGAACCGTCTCCCAGAGTTCTTTAGGAAGAGGACATTTTACAACGAGTGAATGCTACTAGTGTTCAATATTAACCAGCTCAGCACTGAGAAAACGAATTCAGCTCCTGCCAAGGGACATCGGCCCTCCACAGATGCCCCGCATTCATTATCACAGAACAGATTGACGCAGCGGCAGACCACCAACCACACAATAAACCCTACGAGGTCCCATCATGTCACCAAGCCCAGTTCAGGTTGTGTTCAGCACGTCGCATCATTCAGGAATGTGCTCGCCGCCATACAAACAGGCGTCCTTCCCGCTACAATGTTGGGTTTCAAAATCGGTGCAATGTACAAGGGTGCGATGCACAGCAAAAAGGATGAAACAAAAAGTGCCGAAAGATGCCGACGTTACGCAGGCATGAGGGGAGGGTACAATCAGTTCTTGAGGTGGCGGACAATATACATGCACTTTGACCTGCCCCACAGCACGAAACCAATAGGCACCATCGGCTATAATCTCGACTCTCAAAACTTCTTGTCTCCAACGCTCCTTGCTTTCTCTCCAGAGCCACACAGTCCAGCGCTTTCGCTGCTCATGTAAAATGGAAATACAGCCCCCGGCAGTCCCCAGCTCCTGGCAAAAAGAAGCCCATTCCAACAGCGCCATTGACTAATTGCAGGCGATTTCCCAGCGGGCCATCAATGCTGCAGCTGTGAAGCAGCTGTGGAATGCGAGGAGGGTCTATCAGTGGTTTCCAGGAGCCGCGCAGATCGTTGCTTCCACAATCTGGTGTTACACACAAACAACCGATCTCAGCAGAGATTGCAGCAGGATGTAGACATCAACAACAGTCCCACAACAGCCCCCCAGTCGACAAGTACCAAAGAATGTCACAAAGCTAGGGCACGGCAGATACAGTAGTGGGCACCTCCTGAACGTTGCTTTGGAGGAAATGCGATGCTAAGATCCAGCACATGTGGGGTCAACAAGAGATACCACCATGACTGCAGGTCTTGTCCTGCACATTCGGAAAACTATGTGCTCGTTCAGGTGGGCACATCGAGACAGTGCGGATGTAGAAGCCACAAGCAGGTGTAATGCATGCAAGGGCATTGCTGATATTCATGCATCATGCAATCATAAGAGAGGGGCGGAGCCATTGACTTGTGCAGGCACTGAAGCTGTCCGTTGGCATGGGGTATACCGAGGGTCGCCTTGACAAGGAGGTGAACAGACAGGACAGGCAATCCAAGTCTAGCTCCCTTTGCCTGGTTTTGTTGTTGTGATTGTCTGTGGTAATCTCTTGAAAATGCAATTCTTCCCAAAACCAGCAGGCCGTGCTTAATCGTCAGATAGTACCAGCACTAGTGCTAGTTTTGCAAATAGCAATGACAAAAACGGCGTTTTGTTACTTATTTTCCAGTTTCTATTGTCATCGCTGCCATCAAATCACATTTGTTGTTTCAGTGAAAGAAAAACATTGCTACTTCGAAACGTGCAGACGCTTCAGTTCACCCTTCCTGAGCCCCCACCACCGATGTGCGACAGCCACTGCACAGCTGAATTTGTGCCGAACAGATGAAAAAGCGCTTTTCCAAAATGCATTGAAGGATGGCGTGCTGCCTGGATACAACAGAGGGGATGGCGAAGCGACGCAGAAGCTGCCGCTTCGCTTTCAAACAGTTGACGCCCAAACGGGATGCATGGGAATGCGCTTGCTGACAACTGTTATTTGACAATGTCAGGAAGCGCTGCCAGTCATCCACGCTGTCAGAAGGTTTTGTCGGGCGACAGGCACACCCCACCAGCCTCGCCGACGTCCACCATCCCCCCCACCCCACCCCACCCCAACCTCCTCCATGCGGTCGCCCAAACCAGGAGCAGGGACACCACTGCCACCAGGGACCGCGTCGCGCCCACATCATTGCGCCCAGCGATGCGTCACGATCTCCACAAGGGCGATACATCAACGCCGCATTGCACCCAACCCCCACGAGATGGGCGTCGCGCATCCCATGTCAGCCCCACACAGCATGACGTGTGCGGAGACCACAGCTTCCGGCCGCTATGGCCGGCGCTGGGCCCCCCGGTGGTGTCGGAATCCCCAAGATCGCGCCGCACTGCCCCGCGCCCCCCTGCGGCCCCCCTGCCCTCGAACTCGCCTGCTCAGGCCCCATCCACGGGGTGCGCCGCCGGCTCCGCGCCGTCCTTGGTCAGCCGCCAGCCCTTGAGCGGGTTCTTTAGCTCCGCGATCAGGTCCACGCAGCCCAGGATGAAGATGTACAGGTAGTTGCAGGCCACCAGGATCAGGTAGCCCGCCACGGCCTCGTTGACCCGGTCGTCGTCCGTGCGCACTGTGCGCGCGCTGACCCCGCCGCCGGTGGCGGAGGCGATGATGATCGACTCCAGCTCCCCGGTGCGGCCGTCGTTCTCCCTGTTGAGCAGCATGGCCTCCCCGGCGTCCTCCAGGTTGACCGCGGCCAGCACCAGGAAGGCCAGCAGCGCGAACCGCGCCTTGTCCACCACGCCCAGCAGCCATGCCACGAACAGGAACAGCACCACGAAGGTCTCCTGCAGGATGGCCCAGTAGAAGGGGCGGTAGAGCGCGCGGCAGGGGTCGTCCACGTTGCAGTCGTCGTCCATGCGGCCCAGCGCGATCCAGGTGCACAGCCAGGCGGCGAAGTACACAACGGAGGTCACCAGGGCGGTCCAGGACTTGAAGGACTTCGCATCGAAGGAGGCCATCGCTGATGTGCGGTGGAAGGAAGGGGGAGAGGGGGGTGGGGGTGGGGGGCGGGGGGATTGGCGCTGGCGTCCTGGGGCCCAGAGGGGGGATCTGGGGAGTTTTGGGGGCGCGGGGATTCGGGTGGGGGAGGCAGGGGCGGCAGCGGGCTGCTGAGTCAGGCGGCTGGGCGGCGAATCAGGCTGCGTGCGCATCCCTGCGCATCTTCGTTCGGTGCGATCAGCCGCCGGCGAGAGTCAGCGGCAATTGGGCGAAGACCCGACGGTGGGTCAGTCACGCCCGGCGCATTTCCTTTCCGTTTTTTGCGGTCACCCCCGCGCGGCGCTAAAATCTGCCGGCCGTTGTGAAACAACCTGAGTTCTGTCATAACACGTTCAAAGGGAACATCTGCCTGCCTCAGAAAAGGTTTGTAGGCAATTTCACAGCATTAGAAGTGCGCTGACAAGCAAATAAACGTGCATCGTTCGTGTATCAATGCACGATACACAACCCCACGATCTCCACCATACTAGGATGTTGGCAGCCAACCAGCGCATGAAACCCACAGTTGTCCAGCGGATGTACGGAGTGTGCAATGCAGCCGAAGCATGAGGTACCGACATGAACTGCCCAGCCAGTGTATCTGCCAAAGCTTGTGCTTTAATCGACCATTTCCCAACGTTACATATGTGTCCAGAAACGTAGCTGCCAATTTGGTCCTTCTTCAATGAATTTCTCGAGCCCTGCATTGATCAGTTATGCCTTTTCTCGCTTGCACAGTTGCGCTATCCGCTTGAAACGTGCTGTGTGTACTGTTCAGGGAACCTCAACCTATTTACGAGCTATTTGCAGTCTTTGGCGTTTTTGGCTTGTGTCGCTTAGCCACTGACCATGTTTCAAACATGTACCCTTCAGGATGCATGGACAACATCACAGACCATCAACTCAACAGCAGGAAAAACCTGCAAGCTCGCACAGCATGTACCAGACTTGCATGGCCATGAAGCTCGCTCCTTGAGCAAGCCGGGCACAGAACTCAGGGTTGCCGCTGCCCCACCACACAATCATCATTAAGAAAACTTGCACATCCAGGCTGGGAGGTGGCCCACAGCTACCTGTGTCGCCAATCGCCTTCCTATTTCGAGCAAAACAATGTACACACTCTGTTCACCGCGAAGCCATGACGTGCTGCAATCCGCCCCACATTCAACTCACATTCCTCGCCAACTGAGCAACAAACCAACACCGCTATCTCCTCGACCAAATACGCCACTGCCGTGCGCGCCGGCTACCACAAGCTTTCCAGCCGGGGCCCTCCACCCGCCGTCGCAAGCCTCCCATGCGCCACTCCCCGCCGGCATCACGATCGCCGACCCGAGCGTGTCCTGAAGGCGCCGGTCGGCAACCGGGCCCCGCCGGTCAGCGCCACACTAGCAATGCGGCCTAAGGGCAGATCGCACAGCGCCTCCCAGATGCCTTGCACGGCGCAAGGAAACCAGCCGAAGGCCAGATCGCACCTCGCCTCACATATATAAGGATGCCCTCCTCTTTGCAAGGATGCCCTGCTCTATGCAAGGATGCCCTGCTCAGCGCAAGCGTTCGGCCGGAAAGCGGATGGGACCGGGCCTTAAGGGTGCGCGGACGCCGGCCGGTCCATGTACCCCAGCATTGTCTGCCTCTTGCTCCTCCTGTGCGCATTGGAAACCAGCTGGGCGTCGCGCCGCGCCCGCCCGCGCTCCAGGGCCTCCGTCTCGTCGTACAGCAGGGCCATGCAGCCCACCCGCTTGGGCGTTGAGGCCCGGGAGGCGCCGGGGAGGGGCTGGGCGTCGTGGTGGCGGGGCAGGTGGGCGGGCGCGCTGCGGGGCCGGGTGGGCGCCCGGACCCCGTCCTGGGGGGCCACCAGGGAGAGGGTGTCGTGGATGATCTTGCACTTCATCAGGCGGTCCGCCTTGGTGGTGGTGGAGAGGGAGGGGCTGGCGTTCACCTGGGGGAGCAAGACGTTGGGGTCGGTATCCTTGCGTTGGGAACACGTGTCCCAATGCAGGCCAATGTCTGGGCCCATTCACGGGAAATGCGACGCAGGACGTCGACGTCGCAGGGGCAGCCATTCTATCGCCCAGTTTTTTGGTGAACAGCAGAGTTTTAGTTGCTGATGCATCCTAGGTCTCAAACCAAAGTACTGAAAAGACTGGGGTGGAAGCGTCGAGACTGGGGAGTATTGTAGTCTCCTAGGTTGGCTTGGCAGTATGCCGCGTAAACTACAGGAGGCAGTTCTCGCAGCTGTGGTAGCTTTGCTGAGACTGCTGCCTTTGGTGGTTAGTTTGCATTGTTTGGGGAGCACAAACTATTGGACTGCAGTTGCGTAAAGGATAGCAGCACCAGTTGGATACCTTGTCCTGGGACTGGCATCAGTGGAAGGCAACAATAGACTGCGGCAAATCACAGGGTGTTATTTTTGGCAACAAACATAAAACCAGCAAGGGAGATGCAAGCCCGATGCTCTCTAGCGTTTCCTGCATGAGGCCAAATTGTTGCAGACGAGTGAGGTAGGACAGAGAGCAGCTGCTGTTTCAGGAGTCAGCACACAGCAGCCTTCCCCAACGTCCCTTGCCCAACGAGTTGGCCTGAAGCCCAGATGAAAAGGACTTGAGGGAATGCAAGAGAGCATAGACCATCCAGTGCATGATAGCATTCCAGCAACCACAGCGATTTGCAACATTGCATCCAGCACGACTCAAGACCCATAACCATTGGGTCCCCCCCACCTCGATTAGCCATGGCTTCATCGTGTCGTCAATGATGATGTCATAGCCATACAGTTCAAAGCAGTGAGGATCGTTGATAAGCACGTTCTGCACCGCCTTGAGCGAATTCACGATAATCTGCTCCAACCCCGCAAAAAGCGCCTCCGTGGCTTCCAACCCCCTGACGCCTTCCAGGAAGAGTCTCAGGTCCGCAAGGGGCCACTTGTTGCCATGCAGGCTGTTGTATTTAACGCCCCTCTTCTGTATGGCCACATTCGTTAGGTGCACAAACTGGTTATCCAGCTCAGACATCTCTGTTGTGTACTTGATGTTGCAGAAGCGGGCGAAGCCCATGTTGGACAGGTAGACCTTGAGAGGTCGGTACGACAGGACCACCACATACAGCCGCAGGTCGAACTTCTTGTCACCTATCAGCAGGGGGTTGTCAATGTACCTGGTCAGCAACGCATCCACAGTTGGCCATCTCTCAGCAGTGCTAGCAAACATGTCTGGGCAGCACTTGCAGTTGGCAAGGGAACAGTTTCCCTGGGCATGGAATCAGAGGGAACGATGTCAAATGCCTGCCCCAATATACCTCAGCTGCAATTATTGATCGAAGGTGTGAATATTCCATGGGAATGGAATTCACTCTTCTCCATACTGCCTTTTCACAGAGTGCAAAGTGGGCAGGGCATGGATCGATGATTGGATGCTGTGTTGTCATCACCCCCAGGACCAAGGGACAAGTTTTTTCTTGCGTTTATGAAAAATGCAAGCAACAGCATTCACATATACACTTCCCCAGCCAATGCACCCCTGCCGGAGCAATGCTCATCCCCAACCAGCCTGTGCCCTGGATTTTGGCAAGCATCAATGAAGGAATGTGGGGGGAGGAGTGCATCCAATGAAATTCCCAAAATGGTGTGCATGGCCATGAGCCACAACGCACAATATTCCAACAGCAGGCGAGTACCATGTTTGGAAGGGCTTCAGTATGAACACTGCAAATATTGCACAAAGTGTCCCAAGTGTACAAGCTACAGCTGTTGTTCTGGACACAGAAAACATGTATCAGAAACATGACAACACAGTTGACAACAATGCAGAGGGATTGGAGATATAGGGGTCTTTGCAGATCATGGGTCAAACAGGCATCCAAATTGATCATGACTGCCTGCAATCGACAACTTCTAACTGTAAAAGGACACAGTGGAGCATCCCTCTCTGGGAGGTAATGAATCCACTCACTGAGTGCCTTCAGCAGGGGCAAGAATCTCACCAATATTTTGCTCAGAAGACGGACGCCACTAAAAAAGCATTCATTCAGACATCAAAACTTTTAGGCTTTGCACCATCTTTAACTCTTTTGCTGGCAACACATGGCCCACAGCTCTTCTCTATGCCATGGTTTGCACCTGGACTCTTCAATGCAATACTATATTCTGGAATCCAAAGGCAAAGAGGTGGGAGGGGTGCCGCTGTCCAATGTCTTCCTTTCTTGGTGCACTGAGTACAACCTCTTCATGGCACACTGGCAGTTCCCTCTGGTCACATCTACATCCCTGCAGGTGCACGTCCTACTAGCACAGCATTTCGGAGCAGCATTTCAGCACTTCACAAGGGCATCACACCTGCAGGTCTCATTCACATGCAGCATGCCCACCTTGAGATGACATAGTTCTCCTGTTGGTCCTTTTCGCGGGCGTTGCCTGCAGCACGGGCCCACTTCTTCACCTGCACAAATGCAAGTGCCAGCACCAGTAGTTGCAGAAACGCAGGCTCACATCCTTCTGAACAGAGTGCACAGAGAACTACAAAGTATTGCTGCCACCAAGTACAACTGTTAAGTACTCTACAGTGCTCAGTATGACTGCTTTGTAGCACATCTCCTGCCCACCCATGCTTGAGCATGTGTGACTGGTTTGCCTCACAGTACAACAGCCTAGTCTAGTGCTGAAAACAAGTTGTCACCATTGCATAAGGAAAATCAACACATGCACCTGGATGCTATTATGCACTGTCTGATACATTGACAGGCAGATGACATGACGTGACGTGACATGACGTGACACGCGACTGGAATTTATGCTGGCCCACACATACAACAAAGATGCCATTTCTGCTCGGGTTGAAATTAGTGGACAGTAGTCTAGCAAGTTATGCCATGCCACAAACAGGAACAGCACAGATGCACCACCTGTGCCAACTTGTTGATCAGGAAGATCCCCTTTCCCTGAGCCTTGCAGGCTGGCTTCATGATCCAAGCCACGTTCGTTGACCTCCGGAACTCCTCAACAAAAAGGGAGTAATCCTGTGGCATCATATATGTGGTCGGCATGAAGTCCAAGGCAGCCGTGTCGCCCCCTTCTTTCTTCACCTGCTTCTGATACCTCTTCAAATTCTTCACCATCAGGTCCTGTTGGGGTGCATGACATTGTATATCAGGTACTGGGTGCTGATTCCTGTCCAGGAAAGTGAATTCTATGCTGGGTTGGCAGCGATTAGCATCTCAGCTGGACGATCACCATGAAATCCTCAAATTTCATGCAGCCACATTCTTAAGTAGTCCCTAAGGGGAAGCCAAGGAAATGGCTTGGGAGTGTGAGTGTTGAAGCTGCCACAGAAATGGTGCCTTGTGGTAGCACTGCACTGGTGCAAGACAGATTGGCGATTTGAGGCCACCCAAATCTGACAGAGTGTTGGCCACCATTCAGGCCTCAGTATCAGCAGTTCACAGTCACCGTCCAGCTTACTCCTCAAAAGCCAGACACAACCATGGGGAGCGACAGGGAGGCATGTTGTTTGCATCAAGTGTGCAGTTCAACAAGACGGCAGAGCAATAATGCCAGCAGTTCACCATTCCGTTGTGTGTTGCACTGCATGTCTGACATGGCACAGCAACAGGAAAGAGAAACCACAGGTCCTGTTCAACTGCCCCCCTGCCCAGACCAGGCAAGTAACAGCCACTTTGCACCTCATCTTGCCCATGTTTTACTGCCCTCCTAACAATGAATGTGTCTTTTCACCAGGGTGTCTTGAGGGTGACTGGTGACAGCACCTTCTTGATTGTGGGCAATGGGGTGCCCAATTGACTCACAGTGCAGGGATTGCACCTATCTCCGCTGCCATACCAATGCACTGCGTTCTACAATCGTGTGGCAATACCCCATGACAGCGTCATCTTTCCAGTCCCACAATATGCGCTAAAACCCTTCAGCTGGCACAGGTCACATCATATACACAACCCAGTGTGTTGGGCCCTCAAGGTGCAGAACTTGTCGGCTATGTGCAGGCCTCACCTTCCTGGTCAGCTCATAATGATTGGGGAAATGGTTGATGAACTGGTGCGGTTCCAGCCTGAGCCCGTTCTCAGGCAGAAAGATCTGCTTTGCAGTGTGGACATTCGACCAGTACAGGTCCCAGTCATCGGAGTTATCTGGGGTGGTCCGCACCCAGCCACGCCGCTCACAGCTTGATACAATGACAAACTTGTCGAAGTCTGTCTTGTACCGCACGACCATTGGCTGCAGAGGTGCTCCTGCACAGGGGTTGCCTGGCAGAAGTCAAGTGAGCTCCCTAGTTGCATGCATAGCTTAACTTTCACCCCTAGGACGTGGCTGGGGATTTTTCCTCATAGACATTATCCTGAAAGTGAAGTTCGACGTGCCAGCAGGGCAAGTGAAGGCAACTGCAACCCCAACTTGATGCATGCAACTTAGGACAAAGAATAACAGATACAAGTGCAACAGCACGTGCACTGCAACCTCCTCTTCCTCATCCCGCAGGCACAAGTTGCATTGTTCACGCCCCTCATAATGCAGGTCCTCATGAGTGCATGTATATTGCCATGCCTGCTGAATTGTGGTGTGTGCTTTCAACCCACCTTTGGAGATTTTCACAAAATGCAACGGAATCAAGAACAACATACACTGAGGTATCTTTTCAACAAAGCAACCTTTGAGATTCGCTACGAATTGATTTGCCCCCCACCCCACACCCTTGAGTGCCATCATTCTCTTCTTTGAGACTAAACATTCATTTGGACACAATAGCATCAGGGGCTTTACATTGGCTTGCATTTTCTCACTACGTGGCACATGGCCCACATCTTCTGTTAGAATAGGGGTGGCACCTGGACTCTTAACTGCGATGAAATATTTTCGAACAAAAGAGAACCTGTTGGCCTAAGATGGGGGTGTCCGTTCCTGCATTATATCTTGGAGGCATAGGCGGCCTTGCCATCTGCATGTCACAAGACCTTCCCAACAAATTGATGTGGAGACTATCCTGGGGACCACATTTGGACAGATCTGTGTTGCCCCGTGCTGAAGGATCTGGATTTGCCACTGCTGTGTATTGGATTGTAGATAAGCACCGATGTTTCGAGCAAACGTTTCGAAAGTGGTATTGTGTTAGTGATGGAGATGAAGAGCAGGCGACTGGCCGTCTGGCAGTACAGCCTGGATCAGAAGTCAGTGCCAATTTTTTTGCTGTTCTAAAATATCACATCACAATCGAAAGTCCAAATTCAGTACCTTGCGGCCACTAACAGATTACAAACAAACATAACGTACCAATATGCAACAGAGACACCATTAATGTCTCACTGCAACTGCGATTTTGTCTACAGATTGTGGACACAACGTTGTACTGGGCTTGTGCCAGCACAGGGATGCCACCAGATAGCAATTACCACCACATGAAGAAGCACAGCATCTGCAGGGCCATGGCAGGCGCTGTATCCCTCCACATGTGCTTGTCCCACGAGCGCCAGGCTTGTTGATGCCATCGAAAACCCCCTCTCTAGAGGAGCTTCCCAACAAAAGAAATCTGTGCGTTTCTCTTGCAATGCAGGCGGTGCCATTTTGTTCCAGCTGCACGGACCACGCCGATGGCCCCCTAAACAGGCTCGCCAGGCACACCCCCCACACTCGCGGCTCCCGAAGATCCAGTCCCACAAGATCCCAGCAACGTCAAGGCGCCTCCTACCTGCGCGCAGATGCCCCGCACAGGGCGCTGGCTCGCAGACTCACAGGACCTTAAGGTCCGTCCGGTCCCCCCTCGTGTCGCGGGCGATTCCAAAGGCTTGCCCGCGCGCGCGGTTCGGCGGTGCATCAAACGGGATGAAGGGCCGGATGCGCCGGGCGGCGTCGGGTCGCGGCCGGGGGCCCGGCAATGTCCCGCGCACTGGCGCCGAACGCCGATCCTGAAATCTGCGCCAATGACACAGTACAGTCGAAAGGGGCCTTGCCACGCAGGACGATAGCCCGTCGCTCCGTCGAGCGGAGAACGGCATCGAGGTGTGGTACCTGACTCGGACGTCCGCGATGGTGGCGATTGTGCCGCTGCCCCACGCCGCCCGGCGCCCAGGGGCCTGTCAGGTCGTCCGCACGGGCTGGGGGTGCCCGCGGGTTGGGTGGGTCCGGCCTTGGGCCCTTCCAAGACGGAGGTGGGGCGGTGCCGAGGACGCGGCGTGGGGGCGGACTAGGGGAGGGGGCGGAGGGCAGCACTTGATGCGCGATTTGGGCGGAATGCGCGGCGGGCGGAGACAGTAAAGAGTGGGGACAGTCTGCGTCCTGGGTGCCCTCTGTGCCAGAATCTGCCAAGGCAAGTCATCATTTTGCCTTAAGATACGGTTGGGGTGCAGGTCTCTTCGAGAGCCTTGAGAAGAGTTTGTTTGTTTGTTTGTTTCTTCCTTACACGGATGCATCGACATGATGTCATGGCATCGATCAATGTAGCGTACCAACCAGTGTGCAAGGGGCACGTCCGGGCCCAAATATGTAACTGAAAACACGCCTCCTAATAGCGGCCACAACTGCCACCAAACCCTTGGTACCCTTGAGAACAGTGTTGGGTGGAATGTTGTTCAGGGGGCCGGACTACCCTCTTCCTTGCCCCCCTGGGCCAGGTGGGTGGGTAGAGCACTGGGGCATCCCATCAGAGGTACCGGTTTCAATCCCCGGTTCAGCCATACTCCTGACAATACATATCTGCATTTCGACAGAGAGGGCTTGTCAGCTGACGGTGGAAGGCTGGAAGGCGGCGCGTTGACAGTCAGGGGGCGAAATATGTTGGAGCGTTGCGTTGCGGGCGTGACTCTTCTGCGGCCATCCATTGCACGCCTCCCTAATGCGATGAGTTTTAGCCGGTGTTTTTTCAGATTTCCAGTCGTGCAGTGAAGGGGTCGGGAACGCTTGGCCGCTTGAGACTTGCTTCCATCGCAAACTGCTATAGTGCATTAATGCACTATTACAATATTGTAGTGTACAATATATTATGAGGACACATTGAGGGGACGTTGTTCCGTTGCTCGTTACGTTGAAAATTAAATTTTTAAGGGATGTAATTAACTTAATTTTACTTAAATTAACTTAAAGTTGTTCAAAAATTGAATTCAGCAAAATGTGAAGGTACACATATAATTGATATGTGAGATCTCTTGATGATGATTAAGGCACAATGGATTGCGGTGCGCAGGATTTGCTTTATTAAACTTGCGATTTGTTCCTCCTTTCCCCGTTCGCCTTCCTTGGCATGCAAAACATGGATCACTTTCCCACAATAGCAATTGTGTTTGGATCCAGACATACCGCAGCCTCAGCCCATAGCCAATGGATCTTCAGAGGATTTGGAGGTGGCAGCCGGGTAAACGGGCTGCACTAGTCAGTAACACAATTGGTGCAGTGAGCAGCCACTGTGCTGGTTGTCGAGCTTCCATGATGAGAATTTCTCCATTTGCAGTCTGGGATGCCAGTTCTGATACCAATTCCAAGTTTATTGGCTTGTCACGTTTTTAGACATTTGCTTAGCTTGCACTGGTAGAAAACGCCATGTTTTCGATGCCAGCTGCGATGCCATTTTGACACAAAGTGGTGCCGTCACAATGATTGCGATGGCATAAGAGGGGCTGTGATGGCATCAATTGTATCAAATGGCACCATAAATAGGCTGTTTTCTACTGGCGTCCTATCGCCAGGAAAAAAATTGCCCCAGAACCCGTGTTCAAACGTGCTCAAATTTAACGGGTTTGGGTTATTTTTCTGTTTTGAGCGTGCAGAAATTTGATGAAATACGTTTTATGTGTGTTTGGCAAAGTGTTGTTTGGTCCTTTTTGTGCTGGTGCAACATCACGCTCCTCGCTCCTCAATATAGTAAAATCACCCCGTTGTCGCCTCCAACAGGAGTGAAAATTGTGATGTACAACAGATGTGTCATGTACATGGTTCTCGGCGATTTCCACAAATGCCATTGACTGGAGTGAATCTCTCAATGTTGATCAATCCTAAGGCGATCCCCACGGGTAGGCGATGTGCTTGCTGTGGTTGATGCACCAAACTCAAATGAGAAATAAATGAACGATCTTAGCAATTGATTAAACTAGCAATCAGGCTTGCTTTTTACGTTTACATTTTTACTTTTATGTTTTTTTGCGTAAAAACGTAAATTTGTAAAAGGGCCTATATTTACGGCTATTTTTTACATTTTTACGTCTCCCTGCGACGCCCAGATTACATGTCGAAAGTTGCGTACAATGATCAGTCCTCCGCCATATCCAGCACCCGCAACACAGTGTCCACCTTGCCCTTGGCAAGAGCGATGATGGTGCTCAACAAAATGTCGTTTTCTGCCTTTCCCAAGGCGTCTGGCTGCGACTCTCCGGACTCCGTAAGTCTGTATGTATTGTCCTTATGTACACCAGGCAGTTTTTACATTATATTTACGTATTTTTACGCATTTTTAGACATAAAAAGGTAAAAACTGTGTTTACGCATAAAAACGTAAATACGATCAGTTTTTACGGTATAAAAACCAAGCCTGCTAGCAATCATACTAGTGTGGGATTGGAATTTTGTATGATCTTGTGGCACGACAACTTCAAGGCAGCATTATCGGCACCATGCGACAGTGTGTTGCCTATTGGTTGCAACATTTGCTACCTGCGGGTGCCAGGGTTGGCGCCCTTGAACTACGGACGAACCTTTGTGACCCACCTTGCTTATGCATGTGTCCAGGCGGCTGGAGCCGAGGATGCGAGCCACAGAAATCCTTGGATAGGTGGGAAAAATAGGTGCTACAAATTGCACGACATTTTACGAGATGTTCCGATCGACAACACCAATCCACCGCCAACGGCGGGCGATCCTCACCTATTGGTGGAAGTGCACGTGCTTCATGTGATTCCACCCACCCTCAAGCAGACGAGGCGGGGAAGGGTGTGGGACAAATTGTAAGGCGCATCAACAACGTGGACCATAAGTCCAACGATATTTCGCACACCATCTGACTCGCCAATAATGCACGCACTATGCAAGCACCGTATCTTTTGCATCACGTGTCAAAGAGGATGACTAGGTCCGCCACTGCACTGACGATGTTGCGTTGATTTGGAGATGTTGGGAAGCGAGCATTTGTTGCGCAATCAACGGGAGGCATAAGGACAAGGGTTGAGCCTTGCGCAAGGGGCAAGGCTTGCCTTCTTGCGGAGTTAGAGCAATGCCCGATTTCAATCCATCATTGCTAAACATGTTGTAGCCGGTAAACTGCTGAATGTCAATGGTGGCAGCTATTGGGAGGCATTTGTTGTTGCAAAGTAGAAGATCCATGATTGACACCTTTGCACATGTGCAAGGGCATTGTACTATGGAATGAAAGATCCCCGAGTCTGGGACAATCAAACCCATTTGGATCGATTTCTTGACTATGCGTCCTTCAATTGGAACCCCGAACTAGTGCGGCTCGACCGAGGAATTAGGGTGAAACTATTGCGATCAATGAATCGCATGAGAGCAGCTAGAACTTCCACATCAGCAAGTTCCAATAGACACTAGGGGTCATATCTGTTCTATGGGTTGCAGAGGTCAGGCTGCCAAATGTATGAACACAAAAGAGAAAACAAGCGCACTATGATACACATAGAAAAAACAGAGCAACACTCAACCGTTGGCCTTAATATCACAATTATGCCAATCGACAAATGTAGGATTCCCAAAGGCCGTAGAAAGTTACAAAATCCTACACGTCCGGGAGCTGAGACTCACGGAAGTATCATAACAAATATAGCCTATATATAATGCGTGAATTTCGAGAAGACAAAAGTACTAGAAACAGGCTGAGAAGTTGATTCTAACATCAGAGATATTCTAACTACAAAGGCTAGACATGAAGTCCTCCAACTGTTCCGCAACCTGTCGTGGCAACAAAAATGCACGGCAATTACTTTGGTTCCATGCAAGTGCTGTTGGTGCATCGATGCAATATTACATCATCAGCTGGATTGTTGGCAATAATTGGATTCGATACGTTATCTGACGGCATTACACTAATCAGGCTTTCCACCAAGAATGAGGCATATTTTGCATTGTATACCAAAATAAGTGTGCACAATTGCAAAAGGAAACTAGGCAAATAATTCATGTGGAGTTGCGTTTAACTGTAAATGTCGAAACTAGTCAGCATGCATGCCACTAATTATAAATAACAAAATTCTTTGGATTCATGCGTTCAATGCAACTTCTCAACTAATGTGCTACTTCAAACAATTTTCCTCCCTTGGTCCCTTGAAATGAGAGAGCAAACTTGTCGACGCCTTAAATGAAATGGACACATGCTAACCAACAATCTCTCCAAATTGATGAATATTCATACCTCATAATGGGTCATGAAATTTTTACTTTTATCTTAATCAATATTTGCACTACTTGCCAATTGCACTTGATGTATAATCATGTGTATGTTGCATCATTTGGGTGCATCTGTAATTCGTTTAATCTGATTTCTTCAAATTTAGAATTATATTAAATTACCCTATTTTGAGTATGTGAAACAAAAATTAAAACAAAATTAATAAAAAATGTGAACAATAACAACTAAGCGACCACAACAAGTTAGGTTGGGCTTCAGAGTGTGACAGGTTAAATTTTTGGACTCAAGAATGCTCTAAAATTCACAGAAATTTGTAGTACAGTGACAAGGTTAAACATCATCTTAGAAGTCCTAGTTTTCCATTCATTGGTTCAACGCTAAATCTATGAATTCTCAAAATATTTTCAAGATTTTTGTATCATGGTTTCACCCTGGTGAGGGAAGCAAGAGTAGCGCAATAAATTGGCTCCACTGAGCTGCTTCCAGTTTTCGCTCCAGATTTTGCCGCCCTTCGATGGGGACGCATATCTGGGTGCATAAAAGGGTGTTGTCAAAGCCTCACCAAGTGCGTTTATAAATTGCAAAACAAATTTTGTTTCATCCCACGAAAACTTATTTAAACACTCATGATTCAAAGCGGTGGACAAAATAAGTGGTAAATTATCCAGTGCCTTGCACCAGAACATTGTTAAGCTTGGAATCTCAACTGAAGATCGGTCACCAATAATGAATGCATTGGCAAATATGGCATATCAATCGCACACCGTTTGAGCTTTCAAGTTGTGCATACACATAGTACTTAGTTTTGCTAAATTATACGTGTATGTGCGACCTATCTTATAGATATCTTAGAGTTGCAATTTTTGCTCTTTTCATACACTGAAAATGGCTACCTGCATTATCCACTTTAGTACCCGCTTGTCGTTGCATCGCAGATGAAATGATCCTTGACATGACGTAGTCCTCGCGATGGGCTAATGCAATCTGGTGCACTCATGCATGGGAGCGTGTTATGCAAAATATGCTGTGATTTAACTGATTATAGAATATTTTGTTGTATTTTCTGGATCGCAACATATTGCTGTTGGGACCAAAACTTTGGGAGGAATTGGGATAGGTTTCATTCTGTCTTTGATTGCTAAGGATATGGAGACATTGTCTGAGATATTGTTACTAGCTTCTATTGGATGTCTTGGAAGTATGTTAGAGTTCTAGGGATTTAGGGTGTATTCATTGCCTTGCATGGTGTAAAAATGGGCCCAACCAATATTAAACATTTATTTTGTTGTATTTAGCAAATGTGTAGTCTGACTATAGTGAAGTTGTTCTAGTTGCCTCGCTCCCCACCTCTGGCGGTTCTGAGCACGCCCCGCGGGTACCTTGGGGTTGGGTCGCGGTGGTGCACAACCCAACATCACAAACCAAAGTTGTAATCTGAGTGATTCTCGCAATGATCACTGGTAGAAAACGCCATGTTTGCGAAGCCAGCTGCGATGCCATTTCGTCACAAATTGATGCTATCACAGTGATTGCGATGGCGTCAATTTCTGTTAAATGGCAACGCAGTTGGCATCAAAAATAGGCTGTTTTCTACTAGTGGATAGAACCAATCAGGTTGTGCATGATGACATGCAAAAATGAAGTTGGCATAAAATGTCGACATGTTATGATGCCACGACATCATGGCATGCAAATGCAAGGTGTGGAAGAAGTCCCAAGAGAGAAGTCGCCGTTTTGGTTGCCCAGGCACTTGGTACCGCGAGTTCCACAACGGTATTGTTGAAGATCGGCTAGCAAAATTTTGTGAATCAGAAATGATTGTCATGCTCTCACTTTTGTGTTTTCTTGGGACTGCTCCATCTGCGTGTTTCCTTGAACCAAGCCTCCTCTCCGGGTGCCATTGATGGCAGCATCTAAATTTTGGGAGACGTCTTGCGTCATTTCCAACAGACTGACTCCATTCCTGTATATCTTCATGGTTTTCATTGCCAAAACAACAGGAAATGCTGAAGCATGTCGGCGCCAGGTTTTCCTATTTATTGGGCAGTCATGTTAGATGAGAAAAAAAATTGAGGTTGAAAATGCACCGATGGATTTAATTAGCTGATATGCCGTCTGCAATTATGAAGAACAAATGTTATGTAACCGATTATCAATGTACGATACATTGATAAACCGATGCATGATGATCGACTTGGCTTTGCTCTGCTCCACATCGAAAGCCACAATTTTCGATGCAATTACGCAATGTGCATACTGCGAACGCTACACCTATATCAATCAATCTACTGCAATTTTTCCAAAAAATCCCTCCCCAACAGTCATGGAAATATTATGAGACTATTAGAGTCAAAGAAAGTCCTTCCGCGAGACATAGGCAGTACACAGGAATTTGTATGGCCATGCGTTTCGAGCATATTGTTTAGTATTTAATGCTGCAAATGCGGCTTTGCATAAATGAAGAAGATAAACAATGTCAAACGTTTAATGCCTTTTGAAATAAGTGATTTGCCTGTGTTCAATTCCAGATTGCGTCACGGTATCCATGCAAATTTTTGAAGGAACCTGGCATTTTGACGTTGTTGCTAACATTGCAGAATTATTGGCGCCAAGTAAGGGAACCTTTTAAAACAAAAACACCTGACTCACACAAAATACATAATGTTATTTGGGCTTGAGCATAAGATGCAAGGCAATTCTGGCATTCATGCATCCAAACTCGAGACCACCGGACTAAAGTTACAATGCAAGTTATAACAAACAGTTGTTATCTAGGAGGTTTCATGCAAAATAGAATTTTCTAGTGCGGCCGCTTTAGATAGAAACATGCCTATTTTGCGTTATGGGTTTGTGCATGCACCTTCAGAACTTGTGGAGCTTCATTGCTTTCTGTAGTGTTCATGAATTTTGACGTATTTTTGATGCTAGTTGTGTGCTTGGCTTCCTTTGGCTGACGATTTAGGACTTTGCTTTGCACAAGAGACGCTTCAACCATCCTGTGGATGAGGGACACGAAGAATTGGATCCAAATAAGGCGAGAACGAGCTGCAAAATAGTTTGGATAGAGTAAGGCCTTAGACAACAAAATCAAAGCAGAAATATTGCGCAAGATTTCCAGCGCTAACCTTATTGAGTTCATGTTTTTCTTCGAAATTTTGCGCACAATATGTATTCATAGCCCTACAAACAAGCTGCCATGCCGCCATATTCAGAATTTATCAGATCGCAATTGTGAAATTAAATAGTGCTATGTAATGATCAGTTGCGCATGACAGAAAAACCGTGTACTCAAATAAACAGTTCTTTAGAATGATTTAATGCCATGTCGCACAGCTGAGGTTGGGATATTGGCAACGACCACAGGTAGGTGTGGCTTTACATATCCACATTTATTGCAAACACTATGACTCATTATGATCCAGACAAGAAAATTGGCAATGTGGCTGGAAATGTGTAGAGCATGCTCTACACTGTGCAATTGCCTGCATCAGACCTTTCTCCCACCTCCACCCAATCCCATCCATATCTACCACCCACCCACCAACAGGGTGTTGGTGACAGTGCAACTCATGTCAAACCATTAGATAAACTATTTTGTTTCTGTGCATCTTGCCGCAGCACATAAGATTCGCCGTTACGCAGACTTTGATGGAGCTGAAAATTTTTCTTTAATTTCAATGTACATTCTTTTCAGTTCAGGTTCTCCTTCTGCCTCTGCGCTTTTTCAGCATGTCTATAGCAATGAATATATTCTTTGCTGCAAACCTGATTGCCGTAGTGTCTCCTGGTTGCTGACTATATTTGTCAAGATTTTCTTCCCTTTGCGACTGGCCATTTTCTAAGCTCGTTGCCTCGGCTTGAATCTTAAGGACTTCAATATCTTCAGGTCCCCGAAATTCACGCACCGACTCAAGGTCCGGGCCGTAGCCATTCTGAGATGCGCAAATACGAAACCAAAAAAAACATTACATATTGATAACTTAATGTACTATTGGATATGACCCTTCCATATTGTTAAACGTTATGTAACTACGCTCGCATTAAAAAAATGAAGCAGACATGAAATTGTATTATCAAGTGTCACATATGTTTCCGTAGAACTGGTCGGTTTAAAGTACTTGTAATCAACTATCTGCTTTTCAGGCACTTCTAGCCAGGCTGCGGCTCTTCAATGATCGATCAGCCTCGTACCCCCCTATCAAAGCAGTCGAATGTAGCGAAGAGTGCTGGCATCAGTCACGAATAGAACGCGAGCAACAATAGTAGTGCTTTAAGGTGGAGGAAAGCAGCGGGGCGTAGATACAATCGGGCCTTGTACACCTGAGAGGACGCTCATGATCATGCTGGGTGCAGGGCACTATATATATGGGTATATATTGATACAGTAATATCATTGCTCCATTTAGTTCTACTGTCACTTCTATACTGAATACTATCAATACTGTAGAACAGGGTAAGTACTGTATATATTAATGTACTAGTACGTTGTAATAACAATGAAAGCATTGCCGTTGCGACTGGTAACCACGCGCTTTTAACACTCCCTGTATCTGAACGTCGTTAGATTGCCTGAACCGCACCATTAGTTGGCAAGACGCTGACATCCCATATATCACACGTTGCTACGTTATTACAGTTATTCACCAACCGTTTTTCTGCCATAAAATGGCCATTAGGGCGTTCCGCACATTTGACACAGAATTGCCCCAAATTTAAGTCATGCATATTTGAGAACTAGAGTGTGTTCTGTAGAAAACAGTGCTCTGGGGTTGATCGGCACGCAGTTCTCCTCTTGCCAGGCACAATGAGTAGGTTTAGTGTTTTCTACGAGTGCAAATGCTCAAATTCAACAGCACAATAATTTAAACTACAAAGATTTGGTCCAGATCGAGGCGCCCACCTCTGATTAAGTCGGCAACAAGTGCTGTTGCTGCCGCACAATACCCACATTTGGTAATATTTTAAGTTGCACCTAAAGCATCGCATAGTTGATTCACTCACTAAAACATCTGGGAAATGCCTGGTCGTTTTATGTCTATAGGAATTTTCAAACCAACCTGAATCAGGACGGCATCCACGCCTCGGCAATTTCTGAGGTCAACTTCCAATAACTTCCCCCCTTCCCTCATCAGATCTCCGAACTCTGCGAAACTGCGAAGTGCAAAATTTACATTATGTGTCATAATTATTTTGATCGTGGTCCTATTCACCTGAGAATGTTGAGAATATATAGGTGGCGACAACGGCGCTTTGTTGCAGCCCTACAATCGAGGTATCATCAGTGGAAACTATAGAATACAAACGCCGGAATCTCATGCATTTGTTTTTGGTGCTTTGAGGGCACAGCGTATATGAGTGGTATCATGGCTTTCAACGCAGAGATTTCAGAAGAAATGTAAGCCAATGTTGTCTATACAGGACAAGCTTGACATGTGTGCCACTAGAATAAGCATAGTTGCTGAAAATAACAGTAATACGATCATGCCACAACACATTCAACAATATACGCTTGTTTTCATCCAGAAGCAATAAATAGTACTGCTTTGTCAGGAAATGGAATATTTCAGCGACAACGAAATAAAATTAGCTGCATATTCACCAAGAAGAAGTAAAAACATTGGATATAGAATTCAAAACATAACTCGCACCTGACGGAGCTGAGGTTGTTGCCTTGCAGATGCAGCACTTGGAGGCAACAGTCCAAGCTCAACGCATCCCTTAGACATGCGGCGCCTTTGTCGGACACCTTACAGCAGACAACAATACGCAAATTTCTTTTGCGCCTTGACGCTCTCTGATGTGGCGAGATTGAGTCCAGCAATATCCAGATCTGGATCATTATGGAAAAATAGTCTTTTCACAGGTATTTATTTACTGTATGTTTTTGGAGTCATTTTCGTGTAAGGGCCATCGCCCTTTAGCTGACACGCAATAGCTGTTGTGCTATCGCAATCTTGTTTGCTTATATATCTCACAATGCATACAATTGAAGATGAGGAATGTAAAATTTTAAACAACAGTGTAATATAGCACAATGACTGTAGTCCACAAATGATATTTTAAACGAACCACAATAACTTCTTCTAGAAGCATTTTATCATCTACTACCATAGCATAGTGTCGCATTATCTGGTTTTGTTTTGCCCTTACTTTTTTGTTCTTCTTTTCTTGACGTTTAAATATCAAATTATATTACAAAAAAATCGATTTTAGATGCTCAATTCGCACATGTCACTGCTCTCTTAATGTAATTATTGCAGAAAAATTGCATCCATGTTGTAATTTCCTCATACTTGGTCAAGGTGGTCCATGACTCATTTTCACCTCGTTGAATGATAAGTCAAGGTCCCTGACAGCGCCCCAGCGTCCCTCGATCTGCTGCATGATCAATTTCTGGCGATTTCTCAATTCCAATGAACTGTCGCGTCGACTAAGCCTCATATCAGGGTAGCATCGAAGCAACTCGTTCCACAGCAATGTTATTTTGCCACTCGCACATTCCTGCCTCCAAAGTACAACAGCGAAATTATCAAATATTCTCAATCACAAGTGAGAATGGCTGCAAAGCTGCCGGGCAAAAACGGCTGGCTTTTATTGAGCTTGCCAATTTCAAATACAATTACTTTCTTAATGAGAGAAATATTCTTACTTGGAGAACCCTTTTGCATGAGCAGTGCACATTGTATCATTCTACTATGGTAGGAATTGACTTGTGCAAAGCAGCGAGTTTTGGTATGATTTTCCAGAGCAGGTGCAAAACCACAGAATTTGCCACTTGCCTGCCAACGAGATAGTTAAATGAATATTGCAAACGATGTGCGCATCAATATTTCTGGGTTAAACTGAATCTAACACTCGTACAACATGTATTTTAGAGAATATGGATCAACGAAAGAGTACAGTCGAGACTTGGTGATTCAATACAAGCGTTATTGTGCCTATGCAGGCACTAATCAAATTTTACCTTCAGAGCTGACCCTAGTGCCATGGTTCCTGTATCTTGCATGGCGCACGCTGCTAGGTCTATTACTTCTATTGAAACGTTCCTCACTATTCCTTCCCTTAGCGCCTGAGCCACAAAAACAGTTAGCCCTGTCTCAATGGTGCTCCCCAAAACGATCAAGATACCTGCCTTGCAGACATTCCTCATACAGATATGGCATTAAAATCTCCAAAATTGTTCAATCTCATCGTGCATGGTGCTTATGCAGTTTTAGATTGTATTACTTGCTCACCCCCATTGTTCATACATCAGATTTAACATTCTTCCATTCGAAAAAAGAGCAAACGTTGAAGCAACATTGTGTGAGTATCATTGACGCATAGCCAAACAACAATGCTACAATGCCACTGTGTGTACATTGACGTAACAATCGTACACACATTATGGCTTGACAATACTAGCCTATGGGAATTTGGTGAAGCGCTGCTAGGCGTGCCATCATTGATCACTGATCAATGAAATTGCAGGGACAATATTTTATCAATTTCTACCGTTCTGCCAGATATCGGATAAGACGAAACCACAAAAGCTGCCTTCTTCTTTCAGATCCAGCTTTGAAGCTTCATGTACTGACAAACGCTTTTGATGACTAACTATGAATAGATGCAATTTTTAATGTATTTTCTACAATTCGCAATTTCCAATTACCATCCCTCATCGGCCGCCAAACCTGAATGCTGGCGTGCCCCATGAAGCTGCCCCTCAGGGAGAGCCTCTTTAAGGTGGTCGTGCTAGCCAACGCCTTTCCCAAGGTGGTCACTCCAGCCACAGGTATTGCCTACAGCCACCGCGGAAGATAACTGAATTTGCAAAAAAATATGGCGCAAACCAAATTCCACCTATCTCAGCAACAGCAAATGATGTTGAGCTTTGTGCCGTATAATGTTACCCTTTAACGTGGTTTATGCGGTCTTTCGTGCAGGCACATCGACTTGAAATTTGTAGAAATGATTATGTTTTTGTGCATATTGTACTCAGCGGCAGCTCGGAGCGAGCGTTTTCATGTGCTAACATACTGGTTACTCGCCAGAGACTCGATTTAGAGAGTTTGCTCCAAGGGTAAACATGCATATATAGCTTGTAATGAATAATCCTTGAAACGTTGTCAGCTGCACAGTGAAATCAGAAGAGAATTATATCTGCAGTAGACGGTGCACAGAAAAAAAGCCTGTTTCATGGGATTTAGAAGATGTGCTAGTAGCAGTCAACCTAACAAACATTCTTATCTACACACTGGTATCACCGGTATCTTTGCGACAGAAGCGAAGAGTGATTTCGTTGGAAGGCACATAGAAAACATTTACAGTGGACTCCCAAGATGTTGGCTGCAGCAGACAACATCGAAATTGTCTTCCTTTTGCAGCTTATTACATTGCTCGTTCTTCTTAGAATTCAATATCGAGTTGTGAAAAATAGATAGTCCTCAACTTATATAAGCATCAAAATCCTCTGCATCGTCTGAGGCAAACAAAACCATTCTGATGAAGATTGTTTGCGCCAGCGCGATCCCCGCATGTACCAGACTTGGCATTTACTTTTACGTTAACGTTTTTATGCGAAAAAATTAAATTTGTGAAGGGGCTATTTTGCGGCTATTTTTACATGTTTTCTGTTCACTAGGGCACCCCTGTTACATGATGAAAGTCACATACAATGATCACTCCTTCGCTATCCAGCAACTAAAACACAACGCATACCTCACCCTCAGCAAGGGCAACGACAATATGGAACAAAAGTTAGATTTCTAACCATTCCAACGAGTCTGAATCCCACTCCCCGGACTCCCCAAGTCTGTATGTATTGCCCTTATATACCAGGGCTATGCTTACGTCACATTTTTACGTCTTTTATGCGCTTTTATGAGTGCAAACGTAAAAAGTGTTTTTGTGTGTAAAAATGTTGATAAGATATGTGTTTATGGTGTAATACCAAGCCTGGCATGTACTATGACCGTTGGTATGTACTATGGCCATCAACATGTTGTTGACATGTCTGCCATTAGATCTATTTTCTCATCATCATCGCTCCAAACTCCAAAATGTATTTGTTAGAATTTCACGATATGCTCACGCATGAAAGGAATTCATGTACCAAAACTGAAAGTTTCAATGTTTAGCACAGTGTCCAAAGTATAACCCGTTGTCTACTATGCTTATGTGTACAATGCATTGCCAATGGGAGCAATACTCACCAAACTTATTCTCAATTCCTTGATCTTTGAGTTTTGCAAGACATACGAAACAGATTCGCATAGTTGTAATAAGCATCTGCATAGAAGCAACGTAACACAGCCTCTGGATGTCAAATTTTCTAATAAGTTTATCATTTAAAAAATGGGAATCTTGCTTCTATGAACTCGTGACCTAATGAACCAAAGTGAACGTGACCTAATGTCATAGAGGTATACCCCCCCTACTCCCATTCCCACTCCCGTCATACACCATTCCTCCCGCGTATCTAAAGTTTAGATCCTAAATGGAAATTTGTAAGAAGTTAAAGGGCGCGGCTTACATATGTCCAGCGCATTCATGTTTCAAAACAGAATGGCTCTGATACAATAGATTTGAGAGCAGAATTCCCGTCTCAGAGGGGGCCGAACTTGTTCGTAAGCAAAATATTTGATATGAATCAGCATTGGAATAAAAGAAAGAAGGGTCGTTGGGTAATACCGCGAAGAATGGGGAATGGCGTGGATACTCTATGTTACACCTCGTGGGCCGATATCCGCCGATATAACGCCCCCGGGGCTACCAATCCTCCCTATTGTTGCTTACCGTGGTGGAAACTTTGGATAAGGCCGGGGGAAGGATAGATATTTCAATGGCTTCAAAGTACTATAAGCACAACCAATGCAATGCAAGGTGAGTTTGGGGCATGAAAAGCCAGTGGCTGTTTAGAGAACCCATTTAATCTATAATGCGGTGAAGGCCCCACCCAGAACACCACACAGAAAAACCATTATACACATATGGCATCCTCATGTTTGGATGGCAATTGTAGGTTGCCAATGGGTACCCCTCGACTTCAGGCACGCTTTCCACACCCAACAGCCATACGCAAAATAAATTATGACTGCATACCATTCACTTCGTCCACACCCATCAATTCATCCATAATGCAATATTCCCATTGTTGAGCCACATCCTCCAAGTTATTTGAATCAAATGTCACAGTGCATTGAGCACTCGCGGCACTGCTTGTGACTTTATATTGACTGTTGGGACCGAAATGCTGCGCTGGCCTCGGTGGATGGAAGCACTGAACCGGACGGGGCTGGCACCGTCGTGAAGCAGAAACATTTCGCACCGGGTATTGACGGGAATGCTCAATGCTGGTGGGCATCATCACCCGTTCTCCGCGGGAGCTTGCACCCATGCAGCTTGGACCCATACCTTCTGCTTAGTTTCCGCAAGCAAACATCTTGGACGTATTTTCCGTGGTCCGAGATTTGTTGTGGCGAAATCTCACACTCCCCCATCCATGGGCACGGCAGCGGCCTTGGGATTTCAAAGATCATGCACACAAAACATACTCATGTCACCTGCCTTCAGTGCAGCTGTGAGACATTGTCGCCAAATGGCCATTGTAAAGATTGCAAGTTCTTTGCACACACAGTTGTATCAAAATATGTGAAAAAACTGTTGCATGCATTCATTCATAGTTGAAATTGTGTCCCTCACATCTAAAACAACAAACCCACTTAGTTCAAAAACATTGAACATTTAAGACAGATTCTACTTGTGTTGTGCTTGAACAAGGCGGCATTGGCATTGCCACGATTTTGGTGCCATTTCTGCCATCGCTTCATAAGAATGTTACACCAAACAATACTAGACAATAGTCACAGTAAAATTTTGCACAATAGAGAGGTTTAACTACTAAAACTGATGTATTATATAAATCGGAAACAGAGCACGACTGGCAACAGGTCATGTTCTCATGTTATCACGTTTTGACCCTCTACACTTCTTCACCATCCGCCACGCATGGTACAATGTAGTTGCAACATTTCAGTCATGATAAGCGACAAATGATTGATTAGGAAAGAGCGACAGTGAGTGCTCTGACTTTGCGTGCCACATAAGAATGGCACATACGAAGGTTGCATCACTGGATGCTGCGGGCCCTTCCAGAGGGCAGGTCTTGTTCAAGTATCTCCAATTCGGCTTTGTGTGCCTCTGCTGTCATAAAACTGAGTGAATTTAATGCTCAATTACACATTCAATTACATATTTATGTAAACAGAACTTATATGTGCCAATAAGTGTTAGCGTCCGTGGGTGGGACCTCACCTCTCTTCACATAGCAGATGCAATGAATGTATGTCGGAGGCGCCCTTTCTGAGGTGGCTCCCAAGGCTCTCCACTTCTCTCGCAGTCAGCGACGCAACATTCACCTTTCAAGCGACAAATTTCCAAAATATCTAAGTGCATTAATACTTCTGAAGTATATTTTGATGATATTAATTCAAACAAGTACTAGTGGTGCAAAATTACGTGCATCGGTGTGGCATGCATCGACGGCATGCGAGAAACATCATACTCCTCCAGCTCGTCCATACAACGAGCCAAGTTGGATTGGATCACACGCCCAGCGTCTGGAACAAGGATAATGCCCTTTTTTCGCCACAATTTTGCATCAACGCATAATGGACAGATGTGAAACTCGTGCTCCATATTGTGGCTGCGTTGAAGTTCATCAATTGATCATTTGATCAACTTCAACGCAGCCACAATATGGAACACGAGTTTCACATCTGTATAGTATTGATACTAAGCTACGCTACAGCAAATGCCCATACATGAACTTAGATATGCGTTGCTGCTCGTGCGAGCGTCGCTTCAATGCTGATACACTGGTATTTTGCAGCATCTCTTGGAGTTACAGCAATAACAATGTTCGCACAACATTGGATCGACGCTCACCCTTTAACAGAGGCACATGACAGGGCATTTGGATGTAGGCATGCATCCAATTCGCTGGGTGCGTAGCTTCAAGATCATCCAGGAAGAATCCATCTCTACTATCACGGATAAATTGGAAAGAACTTCCGTGTTTTCAGTTTCACCAAGATGGCCCATTTTTCATCCTAATAGTTGCATAGTCAGCAAAACATGGGCCGTTCGTTGACACCATGTCCATTCACATTCTCCCGTGCCCTGCTTCTGGCGATGTGCTGGCATCCCACTACCCACACACCTTTTCCTGCCGTTTGGTCAAGGGATGTTGAAGAGGCCTAGAACAGGGTTGAAAAACTACACCCTGCAAAACATATAACCTGTGAAAAGATATGTCCTGTAAATGAATACAAGGGACACGAACTAACAACTTGTTGGTCAGCACCTTGACGTCTCCTTTCTGCATCTGCTCCGTCAAACTCTCCAGAAGCCTCTTGTGCCGCTTCTCCTCGCGCTGCTTCTTGGCTTTGCAAACCGCCATGGATACTGCTCTTGTCTCGAAATCGGCAAAATGCAACGTCTTCTCACTTCACGTCGCCTCCCTCCCTCTCCATCAAACTCCCAACTTGAATTACGTCAAGCGCGACATGCCCCTCGTATCACCAAGATGTAATCAATCAAAATTCATATTATGTTGTTACAACATGACTACAATAGTCATTACTATGATACAACACAACAATAGAGCATAATTAACTGTAGGTGCAGCGCATTTCATGTTCGGTTTGTGCCAATCTCTCATGCATGGGCTGAGAAGACAACACTATTTACAGATTGATGGGTGCACTGCCATCAATAGAACTGCTAGTTGAGGCCAACATGGAAAACAAATGCAGCAGCTCAGTGATGGCCATGAATTCAACCGAACTACCGCTTCTTACACTCCATGTGGCGCGTCGCAAGTTTGACGCACGTGTGGCAATTACATCTCATCTCCTTAAGGGTCGACGCTGCATCGATTTGATGCGCTTAGCGTCAATTTGACATTAAGATCAGAGACCCCACCCCACCCCACCCCCACACCCACACCCCCACGCACACCACCCCTGAGTGTCAATCTTTGTGTCGATGCCAGGTTGACTAAAAGCAATAGTTAATCGTGAATACAATTTCGTGATGTCTTTAGGGAAGTCAGCACCCATGGTCGCAGCCGTTGTGGTGTTTTCAAATTGGGATGGAAAAGCAGCACCAAGCGATGGGGACAACCCCTGAGGTTGTCAGTTAAAACACCATAGGACCATTCTTGGAGATTGGGCACTTGAAGAAGCTTGGGAGGCAGTCAAGAGAGCTTGTTTGCCACTGATCAACGGTAGTGCAGGGCACCCTCGCGGCTTATTTCCATTTTGTGGCAACTACATAATCTTTTAGCGTCACAGATCTGGACTCCCACCACCACCCTTAGCGTCAAATTGACGCTCAGCGTACCAAATTCGACATAGTGCCTTCCCTCAAACAATGCAACATGATGTTAAGGCATTGCATGTGTGTAGACGTCCGGCCATTCACTGTTTGTCCGACCCTCAACTCGCCCATCTCTTGAATGGCCAATGGTGCCAAGATAAATTGGCGATTCATTCACGTTTCGGCTCCAAATTTCGATCAGCGTTCGCAGCCAGCGGAGCCATTTAGCGTGTCAGCATTTAGCGTGGCAACAGATGCGGTACAGATATACCGCAGTCCAAACGGCCATACCCACTGTACTCTCGCCTTTCGTCCTGCTCTGAACATCAGCCAGACAGAGCAGCTGCCTTTGGTTTCGCCCAAGGCAGCGCCGCCGATTGTGGCAGCTGTCGCTCTCGGAGGCAGTTCCGCCAGGTAGGGGGAAGCTTCAGCTCGTGGGACGGAGCGTGCGCTATCAACAAGTGATTGCGATGCCGATGGAGAACTGTTCTCCGGAGATCAGCTGCCGGAGCTTCAGCATCTGATATGCCGCGCTTCCACGTTGGTACCGGGATGCAGGCCACGATTGCACGTAAATGGCTGACCCACGCGCCTCCCTGGTTCCACCTAGGCCAACTCACGCATTCGTTTCATTGGGCAAATACCAACTTGATGCTATGGATCGGCTTGAACCCCGTTTAGAACATGGTCGAACTGCCCTATTGCATTGCTTGCATGTCACAGCACACGCCAGGACAGCCAGCAAATCCGGCTGTTGTAGTGTGAGATGAGAGGTTATATGCGTCCCTGCTAGATATCAAGGTAGGCGGTTTTCTGTTGTATTGTCAATGGCAGACCCACATGGGTGTGCCAGTTGCTATTATCCCGAACATGCTCTGAGAATTCGCAGCTGGTGGATTCTGGGTACCAGTGGCGCATCCCTTCAGGTTAGGTTGTCCTCGAACAGAAGATTGACGCCGCTTGCTCACTGCTGACGGTTGTCTTCTGCCATAATGTGCCTTGTTTGGGCGCACCACATTTAGTTTTTCTGCTTTCAGTGCGCAGGCCCCAAAGTCCACGCAAAGGCGACAGGAACGGAGCCATCAACAGCAGCATTTTCAACCAGGGCTGCCATTATTTGCATTTGAGATGCGCACGTGGCAGCGCAAATGCGTCAGTGTAGCAAGGAACGCTGACAAATAATGTACTAAAAATAGATACCGAAGAACAAAAATGCCAGGGATGCACATGTGCAGGCTGCGGGGAACCACATGGTTCATCAGACACAAACGCAAACGACTAAATATTAGTGCTGCGGTTTCCTAGGTACTGGCTTAACAATTCAAAGTAGCGATAGAATTACAGTACTGTATATAGTTTTGTTAGCGACTTACAGAATTATTGAGCATTCCACAAAAAACTTTGGCCTAATCGGGCGGAAACTGAGGGTTTCAGGGAGCGCCAGCACTAGGCCAACGTACTATACAGCGCCGTTCACCACAGCGATCGCACCACCAATTGGATGCAAGCACAGTCGGCACAAAACCGCCAGTTTTCAGCACAAAAACTAAAGTTGGAAGGCGCACCATGGGGCTGGGGATGTAAAGCGCTTGTGGATACACGGCATATCATACGCCCCTAACCTGTTGCACAGCGGTCTCCCAGGGACATGCGACTCATTCGCCTTGAGTGAAACCTGCAGCCTCCAGGAACGGGTGGCCAGAGAGAAAGCAGCGACTGCAGGATGTGTCAGCAAATGGTGGGATGCCCAACACTAGGTTGGGTTGACGGAAGCACCTTGTGGAGAATGCTTACATCCGCACCTGCGCAGTTGAGATCACAGCGAGGATTCCGGGCAATGGATGACACCTCCCAAATTGCGATGCAAACAGTACACAACAACATAACAATATCAACATGTCCGCTGGTGCAGGCAGCCAATCTGAAGAATGGCAAAGGGAAACAGCAGCGAGCAGCCACCAACATTAGACACACAGCGTCTAGGCAACACAACAGGTCCTGAAAATCGTTAGCCTATCTCTGCAGCGAGTTGCTGGTGCCAACGTTGGCTATGGTCACTGGCAACTGCCAGGCCCTGTGTGCTGCACCCTATCTTATTTCATGTCTGTAAATCCTGCAAGTGCATCAATTGATGCGAAACATGGCGCCACTTGGAGGCAACAAATTTTCTTCAGAAAGGTGAAGCTTGAAAGTTCCCAAGGGCACCATCAAAGAGCCGTTGTTCGTCTTGTTGCACCAATCGCCAAGCTGAATCCATTCAATCTTCGAGGACGATGGGCTCATCGTCGATCCACTTCACGCCAAGCTCTGAGAGTTTCATGTGTGCCTCTTCGTAGTTGGCAAAGAAGGCGTCCTGGTCCTCGGCATATTTGTTGGCGAACACCCTGCAGTACAGGGGCATTGGTGCTCACAATGGTTGGTCCTGCTTGAAAGTTATGAAGGCTCTCCAATCGCAATCGCTCCAGCACTGCAATTCTTACACAACTCAGTGGGACGCTGAAGTTTCTAGCCTTGAAAACATGAACGCACGTTCATAGCAATACTACAATTGCTAACTTCACTAAAGTAAGGCTACTGTATGAGCAGCACATGCAAATGGTGTCATCGCGCAACACTATAAAGTCAGTGCAGTCAGGCAGTTTATAAAGTCCCTATTGGCACCTGGAGCAGTTTTGCTCCAAGCAACTTTAACGCCAGTTGTCTCATAACATGTGCATGAGCTCAAGCAGATACATGCCTTACATTCAGTTAGTTTTATAGCTAACATGAATGCACTGCACAAATGCAGCCGCAAAGCTGCACAGATGTGCCCATGGAGTTAATGTGGCAATCTACTGCCTCCTGTGGTGGTACTGCATTGTGCAAGCAGCACTTCTGCCGTGAATGCTTGTCCTACCGCCCGATCAGGAAAGCATGGTGCTTTGCGCTGAACCAAACTTATGTTCCTTGTATTGTGCACGGAGCCCATAAACTCACACCATATGCCACGTGCTTTAGTGCCATCGGCGAATCGAACAACATCACGTGCAGGCGAATGAGGCTCATCTGCACTTGCTAGTCTCTAAAGCAGTCCCTTACCATGTTTTCGACAATGCCATCAGCCAGGATATGCTCAGAGTGTCCCCTTACCTGAATTCCTCATCTTCAAACAGGCATGCATCAGTCTCAAGGACGAGGAGGTTGGCATCCTTCTTGCTCTTCACATCCACAAAATATGAGTTGTCGAACTTCAGCCACTCCTTGGTCCATGACGACCCCCCAGGGGTCACGCCTTCGGCGACGTCCTTGGTGTACTCTGTAGAGTCTGCCCCCATGCCAGAACGGTCCTTGTAGGCACGTCCAAGGGTGTGGGCCCCAGACAAGGCAACAATATCCTGTGGCGCAAACACACGTTGGCCACCAAGAAGTCTGAACAAGAGGCATGCATCTGGCTACAGGCTTCTCATGACCTTGCTTGTTGATTCACAGGACTTGGTTGTGAGAATCGTATCTGGCCCAGGTCCACACGCACATCAAGCATAACACAGGAAGGTACAGCCTGATCTCTTGCAAACTCGCACATTCTGCAATGGGGAACTGCTCACATCCATCTGAAAGAGCATAAACAGCCATCAACTGGAAACATACGCAGCGATCACAGCAATGTTGTGCCTGCTTTCCTGGCTGCTCGTCAACTTGCACACAACTGTGGAAAATGAGTATTGCTGATGGCCCACATTCTGTAGAGTGCATCGTGGCCTGGCATCAAGGCATGCAACAGACACAACAACTGAGAGTGTCGCTGCACCACCCTCAATCACCTGATCGGTCAATCCCATTCGATGGAAAATGTTGCGAAGGTGCGCTGCAGGGTTTTTGGCGTTGTCATGAAAAGGAGCCTTGGCACCTGCCAGGAAAGATTGCCAACATGTTTGTGATGGAGAACCAAAGATCTTCCGACATTGCTTGCTGAAACTTAGTCAGGCAGAGGAGACCATGAATATCAGTTGCTGAAGCTGGGTGCACGGATGCGCCAATTCAACAGTTTGACCACAAAGCACAGCCTGCTAATGGTTCAACGTTTCGAATTGTGGTAGGGAACAAGCACTGGCACTTGGCAAAGATACCCTGTTGGTACTGTCACGCACCAAATCTTCAAGCTCAGTCGTTTGCATCAGTGGCTGCTGGCCAGTAGTGATGTTGGCAATGGGAGGGTTCCCACCATTGCCCAGCACCACTGCCATACGTTCCACTCCACACTGTACGCCATTGCTGTTGTTCTGTGTAAACCTTCAAATTATTTGGAGCCAAGGAAGCCAAAAGAGGAAAGAGCTTTGGCCTCCATTGCTTGACAAAGATTCTCACAAGGCCTTTCCCCAGAGTTGCGAGCCCATTTTCCAACACCATTTCCAAGGAGTTGTGGCCCGTCTGCCAGCGACCCGCAGCAGCCTCAACCCCCACATACCTGGGAGGTTGTTCTCAGGAGGACAGCCGCTCTCATCCCCTGCATCCTTCCGCCCATACCGCAGCGAAATCTTCGGCCCGCCCGCAGCCTGGGCACAAGGTCGAAACAGCAACTCATTGCAAGGCTGGCCAACACAGAGGCCATCGCCCAGGGGGCGCAATAAGACCCCCCGAACTGTTGGGCTGGCAGGCGTGCCACCACGGCGATTAGGAACAATTTCCCTCATTGGGGATCGAGGGGGCGGCGGGGGTCGCCCTTGCGGCCTACAGGCGCCGGTGGGAGCCCACGGCGCGGCCGGTCTCGGCCGGGAGGCCCGCCCAAATGGCCCACCTCGATTCCCACGACGGAGGCCATCTGGTACAGATCCGCGTACGAGATGGAGGGGTACTTCTTGGCGAAGGGCTCCAGCATCTCCACCGCCTTGCCAAGACCTGCGCACGCCAGTCTCTGCGTCAGCGCACGGGCCGCCCCCCGGCCGCCCGACCCCCGTGCCGGCAACTGCGCACCGGCGCGCGCACACTCACCGGCATTCGCCCCGTGAGCCAGCTCCGCTGCGAAGCGTATGGATCCATTCGCGCCGCCGCACTTGGGCCATTCCTCCACTTCCTGCGTCCGCGATGGGAAACAATGCCGCCTCAGTCTGCGGATCAAACCACAGCCACGCCAGCGCTCGCATGTCGTCGATCGGGCCGCGGGGCGGCGCGCGGTTCGTCGCGGGAATGGGCAGCGAGCGTCTGAACCCACCTTGTCGTACGTGCCGGCGTCGTGCCACGCCAGGCGGACCATGATCGGCGCGCACCGCCTGGCCAGCACGAAGTCGGACAGCTCCGCGATGCAGGCCCTCAGCTCGTCACGCAGCGTGGTCTCCCTCGCCTCTGGCGCCCACACACGTCGCGCAGCGAATCCATCAATGCCGGGTGTTCGCGGCGGGCGCGATTGGCGACGCGATACGGCCGCTCCCCGCGCCCCCCGGGCGGGGTGTGGCCCCGGGGAAGGTGCTCACTCTTTGGATCCAGCCCTTCATCGTCGCCGTCGTTCTCCCGATGCGTCTTGGGGTGCCGGCCGTTGGTGGCCATCCCGGGCGAGTGGGCGAGCGGCCTGCGACGGGGCGGGGCGCGCCAGCCGCCAATCCGCGCCTGCTGCGGGGATAGGGAAGCGGCAGAGGCTGTGGACAGTGCCGAGGCCAGTGCTGTGGCCTTGGCACCTTGTGGCCTGCGCCTGAGTCAGACCTCGCAATAGGTGTCAGATTGCTGGCCTGTCCAGCTAGGGCGGGAGTCCCCGGTCTCGGCCGTCTCTGGGGATGGTCGATGTTCTGGAATGGGCCGCCGGAGATGGCCGACCAAGCCCAAGCACCGGGGAAATGCAGCCCAGCGGCGGGTGCTTGCGAGAGGGAATGGGCCACTTTCCTTCCAGGGCTGCTTCAGAGTGCGGTGGCACGATGGCGGGTGATAAATGCACCCAGGCTTTCGAGCGCTACTCTGTTGTAACTAGAACTGGTTGAGCATTATTAACAGCTGAAGCACAAAGAAGTAATGAGGCACACTCCTGTTGTCCCTTTGCTCGGCTGTAAAGCGTTGCCGTGGACTCGAGCGTACGGTACCCGTTCAGGGGCCGCCACGCCTCGACTCCGCCTGCCTTCGTCAGAGCGGCAAAATGAATTTGCCTCTTCAGAGTATCAGGCGTGGGTCGTGAAACAGATACCACCACTGTGCATGGATCCGGGGCATGCTTTGTAAAGCACGTGCACATGCATCGATGTGTGTACACAGTGGACCAGCTTCAGTGCTTGATGTTTCATTGTGGGGAACCTTCTGATATTCTAAGGACTTTGTGGAACCCGTGGCAGTCATCCCCGAAACCATTGAATCTCCATTCCGTTTTTGCCTCGACCCCCGACAGCTGTTGAATTGGAAGTGCCAGCCGCACAATCGCATTGAGCAGCTTTGGGTGATTCACAGGGAGGGTGGCATACTGTTTTTCTTCCCTTTTTGCAGTCCTCTCCAAGGTGGAAACGTTCCTTTGCTCCCAACCCCGGGTTGTGTGGAACAACGGATGGGTGCGGGACCACCACGTTCTGTGTGAAGATACCACATCGGTTTGTGGCGACGGAACATTCAACGACACGCCAAGCAAATGAACACCGTGGTGCCCATAATCAGGGTATGCAACGCCGCTCCTGCGAGAAATGCAAAGCAGCGTACTTGATAAAAAAAACGTATTGCTGGCCTGCTCCATTGTCCCCCATCAAAACGGGCCACAGATAAGAGGTTTCACCCTCATGGTGCAGCGAAACCAGTGGATGTTTCGTATCTGACTTCAGGGGACATTATGGCATGTCCCTTTTACACAACTTTACAGAACATGGCAATGCACCCTTCTCGCACCTTCAAGGCAACGGCCAGCTTGTCTGTACCCGCAAGTTGAGTTTCAGCATGTCAGCTACATTCACCTAGAAAGAGTGCAAGTGTGTTGGGGGACATGCACAAGGTGCCACAGTGAACAGACTGCGAAAACAGAAAATGGCAAGGAGGCCACTTAACTCGTCAGCACTCGGCCACAGACTTGGTTGTTTGTTGCCTTGTTAGAACATGTCCAAAAACACAGTGCTGACGTGCCAGTGCCAGTTGCATCCATGTCATGCAACCAGTGGTGACAGCCTATAATTTTGTCACTCGCATTCCCACCCATGCTAACGCGAATTTGAAAGCAAGAATGCTGCTAGAGATCAACCCTGGGCTAGCTGGTCATGAACCCGTACACACTCTCGCTGAGAAGCGTGTCTTCTGGAGCATAGGTCTCCTTCAACAGCCTGTACACATAGCTGGGCGTCACCCCCCCTTGGTCAGTCACCAGCAGGCTAATTAGTTCTGGAGGAACATAGTCAAAAGAAGGGTTCACAACAGACACACTGCAGCCATCCGAGTCTCCATCGCCAGAACCTTTCGCCTCTGCAGCAAGGTTGAAATCGGCGATATCAAAAGGGCAGCGGAAGTCGTTGAGGTTCACGGTGGGGTCATGCGGGAATACAGGCGCCAGCTTGTACAGCCCCACCAACACCACAAACGGCACACCATGTCTGTGGGCTGCCAGGGCGATGGTGTGTGCCCCTGATGGCGCGATTATGCCCCCATTGGCCAAGAGGTACCGGCAGCTGATGAAGACCTGGCTCACGCGTGCCATCATCGCAAAGACAGCAGCGTCTGTCACGATGGTCGTCTGTATCTTGGCCCCTGCCAGCTGGTTGGCCATGCTGTGGCCCTCATACCTTGGGGACCCTTCCACCACAACCACGTGCAGATCTGGGCACTTTCCCTTGGCCATCTCCAGCAGCTGCAGCGTTGTGCGGGACTCTCCCAGTACCAATATGACCTCCTTTGCATGGATGTGGTTTATGCCATGCTCTGCCACCTGGAAGGGTATGTTCTCCAAGTCGGTGAGCATCTCGGTGATGCCCTCGATGACGCCCTTCACGCGCCTCCACTGCTGTGGCTTCCGTTTCTTGGTGCTCATGCCCTCGCCCCCACCCCCCGGTGGGCTTTGAGGGGAGGTTGGGGACGTTGGCACCCTGTCCAACGGGCTCCTCCTCCCGCTCCGTGTTGGCATGATGTCCAGCAACGTCCCAAGGGAGTAGTCCCTCATCATGGGCCGCCCCCCTCCCTGGCCCAGTGTTGGCTCTGGGCTGCAAGCGCCGGAGGCCGAGACCGCACCATTCCCCATTGTGCTGGCAGCTTCACTCCGCTCATGCTGGTATTCCTCCCGTATGAACTGGAGCACCCTCCGAGTAACGTTGCCCACAACCAACTCAGCTGGCTTGGCCTGCTGAAGGTCGGCACTGAGTTTCCTCATCTCATCGAAGAGGATGTGGGCGGTGGCAAACTTGTGCACTGTTATGAACGCCCTTATCAATTTGGCGGTGTCCTTGGCGATGTCGAGAGTGTCCTCTGCTTGCCTGAAGCATGGCACCCGGGGACTTGAGAACAAGTGCACTGGGCTGATCGTGGGCCTCGCCCAAATCGCTGGAATCGGGGATTGCCACGTGCTGAAGAATATCAAAAATCCACCCAGATCGGACCACGTGCAAATTCCCAAATATCAGTTGGGGGAGAGGGCCCCAACCACGATCACGCCGTGCATTTCTGGTCCGTCGCCTGCCAACAACACCTGCAGCACATGTCGCCCAGAAAGCTAGTGATGGCGATGGCGGCTGCCGCCTCCATTTGACTTCCCTACCGAGCTCCGCTTCCGCGCAACGGGAATGCGCATGCCGGTCAAATTGAAAACAGACACCCGCGCCCTGCGCGTCCCCGCGCGATCATCCCCTGGCTTCCTAATCCCAGGCCCGCGCTTGCCCGGTGCGGACGTGATCGCGGCCGAACCACGGCCAAGATTCCCCACCTGGACTGCAGCCGGCAGAGGAACTGCAACTTGAGCTCTTCGAAAGTCGCAACCATGGCTGCGCTCCAGCGCCCGAAACCAAGGCGCAGGATGGTCCACCAGGAGGAGCCCTCGCCTTGGAGCAGAGGCTCGGTCCAAAATGGTGAACGGGAACGCGGACGGAAACCGTACCGTCGTCAGAAATACGATGCTGTTTTCCCAGCTGCATGTCGTTGGTTTTAAAACCCTTACGCATCGGAAAATTTTACCGTCACGCATCGAGCTCCGCATTTTGTTTTTGAGAGGATTACTTTTATTTTTTTGGCTTGTAAAGATTGATGCTGAACGCTGGCATGACCCTTCGGGGCATACGCACTGGAAATCGACATGGGCAAGATTCATCGATCGGAACCAGTCACACAAACACCAGGAAACACACACCGGAGGTCCGGTTTCACCTCAGGGGGTCTCTCAGGAGGTCACTCAGGGGGTCAACTCAAGACGAATCCTCATGTCCTACACTCTCGATTTCGCGAGGCCAGTACACTGATTGAGGCGGCAACCGCCACGGGTTTTACCAAGTAAGCAAGCAACGCACCTCGCTTACTTTATACATTATCTCCAATGTCCATACGATTTTATATTAGAGGTTCACTAGATGGACGGTCTTTTCTATAACTATTATCTGATATTCTTATAATTTACCCTTCAGATTGTTTATCACTGGTTATTCATTTCAAATCCCCCAGATCTTACTTCGTTAATGTTGGCTTTAATAATTTTACATTGCATTTCGCTTGCTCCACATCATTGCTGATATCTCTTTGATTCTATATTGGTCTATTACTATTTTACTTGCTACATTGGGGTTGATCGAGTTTCAAGATGGCCATTCCCACTCTACCCATGCTACCGGGTGTTCTCGAAATCTGGCTCGGCTTCTTGAGCCATCTCTGAATCTCCGCCTGACGCATCAAGCGCCACTTTGCTCGGATGGCCATGCCACGCCAAGATGCCACTGCAACGCCTCAGCGACCGCATATCCCGCCTGGGCGGCAAGCGATAAGAATGCTCGGTCCGCTTCGTTTTCAGCCCCGGTTTTCATCAACGCTTCCATGGATCAGACTTTCAGCCGGTGAAAGAAGTCGCCGACCACATTGAAGCCTGCTGCCTGAATTTCATCTCAATATCCGGCCATAGCTATCTGGGGATCACTGGCTTGTTGTCCATCAGGCGGAGCTGCGACCGTTCGATGTCCCACCTAGCTGCGTCCCACGCCGGCTTGAGACCCATGTAGCACATAGCCTCAAACTGAACGACAATCTCAGCCCTGACGGCAGGGGCCAGATTTTGCATGTCCAGCAAAAGCTGGAAGCCCATCTCGGCGTGTTGCACTGCATCGTAGATGTGGTGATCGTCCGCCAAAGACGCCTCCCAAACCTCCATAAGGGCGCACTGCAAGTCGCACGCCCGCCTCCACAGTTTGTCATCTTGTGGCTCCCCATTGGAACTGGACACCTAAACGCCTGGCATTGCGAGCCGCATGGTCTGGAACTGCTCCAGTTGTCCATTGAAGTCCTTGACTTCATTCAAACCTGGAAGAGATTGGGCGTGTCACCACTCCAGGATTTTGTCGATGCGGGAGACCACCGCCAAGCTATTCTGGGTGCCAGCCATCCTTCCACAGCTCTCAGGCGACACGGAGAGCTTCTGCGCGCGCACACTGCGATGTCCACATGGAATCCATGCACGCGCACCTCAACATCCCGTCCGCACCCTCCTGACTGATCATCAGTCACGCTAGTCCCTTCTCGGGTGTATTGGACAGCCTGGTTCCCTGTGGTCCCCAAATCCCTGGCTGAGAATCCCGGTAAAACTCTCAATTCTTGGCCAAATGAAAACCCGAAAACACTATTCAACTGCAAATCAAATTTCTGATCGAATGACACCTTTCCTACCCCATAATGACCCGTTTTACCCTATAATGACGGTCCAGAAAGCATGCATCCAAACTGGCCCTTTTCCGTGCTGCTCACGGTGCAGTAACATACAAGTCAAAATGATGGCGCCCGATTCCGCCCGATCCTGCCAGCGATAACCCGATTCCTCCACACAACGCGCACGCACCAGATGCCCCATTGAGTCATCCCCGGGGGGCATCCACCAGACCACGGCCCTGGCCACCCCCGCTTCCCCTGTGCAGCCCTGCTCAGTGTTTCGGGCCAATGCGTTTCCCCCACAGGAGCTCCGCCGCAAACCTCCTCCGGTCAGATCGGCTGGAAGCCCCTCCTCCGTAATCCCACTGGCTCAGAAAGAAGAAAACGGCCTTGCGCGCTGCTCACGCCCTCCCAGACCGTCGAAACCCATCGGCTCGGGCCCGGGGCGTTCGGGTCAGGGGTTCTGGAATGAGAAGCCCCTCGCCCAAAAACTTTGTGGGCAGACTGAAAGGCCTTGGGGAGGCGGTGGTTTTCCCCCGGCGGAAGGGGACTATCCCCGCACAGGCACACGCAGCCACCGTGTGGCTGCGCCCCTCCATCACCGGCCCATGGATGCTCACGGAGCTGCCCGATGTAGCAATGGGCATTGCTCTAGTTCCTTGTTGCAGAGCCCTCCCCTGTCTGTCCCTGACTGTGTTGTGTGGGTCGCCTGTAGGCGGGCTTGCGCTGCATGACTTTGCAGGGGCCCGTCACCCTCCGGGGTTGGCGCGGAGCCTCACCGGCTCGAGTGGCTTCGGATGTGCTTTCCTAACTGTGTTGCTTAGTTGGACGGGTTGCGAGAGCGTATCGCCCATGTTGTCGTTGAATCTGGGTCCCGTCGCCGTAGCCTAGGCTGCCGATACTGCCCCAGTAGCCCAACTGCCCATACGATTCTTCCCTGACCGGCCATGGCTCCCCCGTACTGGAGTCCCATGCCGCGGAACTCTGGGCCTCACGGGGCACTAGAGGTGGCCACCCGGATCCGTTAATAGCGGACAGAGGTTAATTTCCGTTAATTTTCCGTTAATTAACGGAAAATAACGAAAAAAGACAAAAAATAACCAAAAATTAACGGATTTCGAGATTTTTTGGGGATTTTTGGGTTTTAGTCATACTTATAGTTTATGAAGTTCGCTATTAGAGAGTATGTTTGAATTTTATTTCAACCTATGCATACTAGATTTTCAACTAGCCGCAGTTGTTGTGATTTTTTGGGGTTTTTTTTCGATTTTTTTGGATTTTTTTCGTTTTTCCAGAATTTTTCTCCCTTTTTCTTTAACGAAATTTAACGGACAGCTGATAAAAATTAACGAACCGGAGTTAACGGACCGTATGGCATCTTTGAGTGGCCACCTCTATGGGGCACCAGCTTGTCGCAGCTGAGTGGCGTATTATTGAGCCATAATGGGCTCATTATTGGTGACCCGTGCAGGCTCTTAAATTTTACTTCAAAGTACTTACGAAGTAATAAAAGAATATTGTTTATGTTGCGTTTTCTCAAAAAGGGGAAAGGGTTATTATGTGGAAGGGTATAATAACCACCGTTCACTGGGTCGATTATGCATGACACCCCTGGCGAGGGTTTCTATGACTTACACCTCAGAAAAAGGAAAAAGAAGAAAGAAAAAAGGGAAAATGACCGAAGGGGGCCCTCTGAGAGATATTTTGAAAAAAAGAGGGTCCTCTGTGACAAAAGGGGGTCCTCTGTATGTATGCATTTGACAAAAGGTGTTGCGGCCCCGTCGGCAGCCGCTGGTTTCCAGAGTCGTGGGGGTCGCCCTGCCCTGCGGCTCGGCTGTTGGAGGTCAGCCGGTGCTCTCCACCTTGGATGGTGGGCGTATCCGGGGCAGTCGCTTCCTTGGTCGCGCGGTGGGCCCAATGCTCGACGGGGATCGATCCCCGGGGCCTGCTGTCGGCGAGAGGTGGCGGCGCAGTGCGGTGGTGGTTCGCTGGCTCGCGGGAGGCCAGAGAGTGGGCCAAAGATGTTACAACGATTCACTGCATGCGCGCGCGCATATTGCATGCGCGATGCCCGATAGCGGGTCCATCGCAGTCACATCATGACAAGACAAGACAAGACAAGTGCGCGTCCAGGCACATCATCACCGTCCACCGTTCACCTAAATCAGCTCCGCATAATCCCCGATGCATCTATTTACCGGTCCGAATCCCATGCTAAAGTACTACAACTTCAACTGGCCATAACTTCGCCGTTTCTACACGGAATTGGACGTTTCAGGGTGCTATTGGCATCAAGAGCTCTTGAATAAGCTGATTTTACCGTATTTGCACTTTTTTGACCAACTGTCACTTCAGAAATGCCAACTTTAGCCTAACCCCAAGTAACCACGTCACAAAAGGGGGTCTTCTGACCGACCCCTATACATTAGATATGTTGTGTTTGGGGCGCCAATTAACATAGAAAGATTGCATTATCGAGACAACCCCTTTAGTAATGCTCAGCTGGTGCCCTGTAAGGCGAGGCTCAGAACAAGTGGCAAGTAGCCCAGAACCACTCCAAGATGACTCAGAGCACCAACGACACCACCGCCCCAACATTAGGACGATGTCATAGGGAGCCTAGGATACATTGGGAAGC